ATTTTTTTAAATTTAGGCTTCTAAAATCGTGCAAATTCCCAGAATCTACTGTTAATACATAAATAAAGTAAATTGCAGAAGGAATACTTTTAATTATTTTTTTCCGTCAAGTCATTAATTTTAATACCGATTTTTTTTTCTCAAAAATCAAGACAATCATTTTATTTTGATTGTAACTTCATTAGTTTTCATGCTAACGACTCAATTTAAAGGTATTTTTAAGAACTTTAATAAGTGTAATATATAACTTTTCCCCGAAAAACCTTTAATTTTTCCGCTACAGGACGTTGAACGTTTCGATTATGGCTATCTTCGAAATTGACTTCAACTTCTGGGAGTCATAACTCGAGTTCTATACCACCTACAAAAATAAAAAAAGCAATCTCTTTGCTATTTAATTACCTTCAGTTTTGCTTATGATCATTTTTTTGATAAAAATTGTAGTTTTTGAGATATTCGCGAAAAATGGCTCAAAAACATGCATTTTTTGGGCTAAAAACGAACATGTTTAGGCGCAAATCACTCAAAAAGTATTGACTACAAAAAATTCTTATAGAATATTTTTTGCTTAGAATTCATCTCTCTATCGAATCGTGAGGTTATTTTTAATAAAAAAAAATCCCACCCTCCAGAAGGGGTGGCATCCGCCCCTAGAGTAAAAGCAGACATCGGCACTATATAACTTTTGTTTCTTGGGCTATTCCCTAGCTACAGTTCAAATTTCACGTTAATCCATTCCATCCGAAAAAATTGGTAGCCAAAATGCTTCAGCGACTGGACTAATGATGATAATAATAATAATAATAAATTTATTCATCCCTTCAGATCTTACAAGAAAAAGATATAGGACAAGTCAATATAACAAACAGAAAAGTATATAAAAGTATATATGATATATACACGTCAATGACATTAACAATTGATAAGACTCGTACAGATACATGCACATTAAGATTTAAAATTTCCTATCTAAAAATTCTGCAACATTATGGAAACATTCATGATGTTATGGTGCATGTTTTTTCAGTCATTGCCGCATATGCATGGGATGTCAATAGAGACGCAATAGAAATTTGAAAAATCTAAACAATTTCAACGAGCTTAGAACAACCCAGAATCACAAAGCAAATATAAATACCGATAAGAGGACTTAAGCTCCAGTTTCAGGGAACGGGTAGGTCTCCCGAAACGTCAAAATGCCTAAATTGACAATGTGGCGAGCAGCCCGGGAATTGTTCAATCATTGATATCTGCAAGTCATTATAATTGAGTCATATTATAAATAAAGTATTCAGTTCAGTCTAGTTCACTTGAAATCTCCGAGTTTCGTTATTATGAGTCATTCTAAACCTTATTTCATCGAAATCGTAGACAGTCGACATCTAGAGATAGAAATCAATCGTAAACTTTTCAGTTTCTTTATCCAAACATTTGCCACCTAGTCTCTGGATTACAGACAACTTAGTCTATGTATCCAATTATACCAATCTTGTATCAATCTATAACGTAAACGTATTCCATACATTCTTCTTTTATTCATCTAAAACTTTTTTGATAAATTGGCCGAGCAGTCCGCGTCTTAATAAAATTGAATTTCTCTAGAGCAAGCTTATATTTTTTGTTTTATTCACACCACCCAGCATACAAGTACTGTACAAACTCATCTCTACCTACTGTACTGACTGTATATATAGCTTGATCGATGTACAATGAACTGTTTATGTACTTCCAGAGTGCGCGTAAAGGCGATTGTACCGGAAGTACGTGCATACCCGAACCACTATGACAAGGACATTTAGGCTTAATTTGTAAATAAAAGAAACCATTAAGAGTATTAGTACTTAATCATTATACCAGGACAAAGTTCTTTTTAGGGTTATACTGATTTGTTGTACTGTAACTTTTATAAAAAATCTATAAAATGTACGTTTTTATGTGTTCAGTTTTAATTACTGTTAAAAATAAATGATTTATACTCATTGTTAAACACATTTATTTTATTTTCGTTTACCTGGGAAACATATTTCTGGGAGAGTTGGAAGGGATCAGAATAACAACAACGGATTGTCTTCAACGTTTCAAAACGTTAAATTATTTTGTCCAACCAAATTTGCAAGGTCCCTAAAAGGGTTTTCCCTTTAACAGTGAAACCAGACTTTTATTTTTCAACATTATTGCCCTGTAACGAGTTTACGAGCTTGTTGCACTAGAAATAAATTGGACTTTAAAATAGTTCATTTAATTAGTTCAAATGGACCTTATCTTGAAAATTGCATGCTCTGAGATTCATTCAATTTTGATGAACAGTCATTTTATGAAACTCGTTTTTTCTGTATGCACCAGCATTGCCAAAAATTCTTAGAGCCTACAATTAAAAAATATGTCCTATTGGTCAAAGGAATTATTACATTAAAATTACCTTCGTAATTACGTATATCATTAGGTGTTTCGTTTAAAAAAATGTACATTTCACATTTGTTGAACATTTGTTAAATCTTGGTACAGCAGCTGCAGACTGTAGCTTCATAGAGACTGTTAACTTAGACAATTGTTTAAACTCGATGAATTAGGTGCGTTCCAAAGTAAAATAGGACTTTTCTAAATAGGTATTTCTAATGAGATCATCCATTAGCAATTATGTAGATCCTTCACTGATGTACTATCAAAATTTGATGACAGTTGGACGAATAAAAGCGGAGTTATTGCGATTGAAGCATAGACCTAGTAAACTATAAGGTCTATGGTTTAAAGTGACAGTATGTTTGTGTCATCGGTACAAAAATTAGTGCCGAACAAAAGGCTAATATTAAATTTTGTTTTAATCTTGGTAAAACTTTTATCGAAACGTTTCAATTGATGAACCAAGTTCATGGTGATGATTTTTTATCCCGTGACCGGAATCCATGATCATCGCATATTCCATGAAATCCATCAAATATCAACCAAAATCTTTATCAAAATTCATGGAATTGGAATTTAGCATCTCAAAAACATAAGGCATTTTGGGTCGAACGTTTGGGCTACCGAAAAGTGTATTCCGCGCAAGTTGACTGATGTCCAAAAATTGTTCAAAATTTTAAATTTGAAGGACATCATCAAGGAGGACAAAAAGGACAAAAATTTCCTTTATAACATTGTGGCTGGTAATTAATCGTGGTGTTTCCAATATGATCCAGAAATGTTGCATCAAAGTGTCAATCTGGAGGCGACAGACGAACCAAAGACCAAAAAATTTGGTTTGGAGAAATCTTGGTATTTTGAAGCATTTCGTACATCGTATTCAGCCAGAATATCACGTAGAAGGATGTTGGCGTTTGTTGCAAGTTAATGCCCCTTCTCATCGATCAACACTTGTGACCGATTTTAAAGTAAAAACGCCAACCACTCCTCATAATGGCCTGATTTGGCACCATGCGACTTTTACCTATTCTGAAAAATGAATTTGCCGATGAAAGGAAAGCGATTTGTGGACGTAGCAGCCATGCAAAAGGCTTGTACCGACATCCTGAAGGACATTCCGGCCGACGATGCTTTTAGACCATGCAAACTATACCTTTTTAGTAGTGACATTACATACGCCAAATAATAGGCAACCCCATTGTCATGAAGAATTTCTCACTATTTTTACTTAATCGATTTTCGACCTTATGTACTTTGGACATAAGTGCCAAACAAATGTCTTCTTTGTCATGACCTTAAATATCGCGATATTCTGGCAATATTAGGAATATTTAAGAAATTTCAAACCCCAAACTAAAAGAATTATAGAATTTATATTTTTAAATTTATAGAATACTGACTTTTATAGTAATTAATAAATTAAAATTATATCAATGCATGAGCATTAAAGATAATTTTATGTAAGCGACGTAGCCTCGCCACAGGATATCATTCAAGAGAAGTTTGGTTCTGGTTAAGGGTATGTCTATAATAAACCACTTGAAGAAAAAAACACTCGATAAACAGACTGACACAGTAGAGCACCAAGAAAAACAATAAAAATAGTTGGTAAAACCAGAAAATGCCAAGATTAAACAAAAGAAGAGAAAATACGCTAATGATGACTGCGATGACAAATCAACAAGATCTCACCTGCGTATAAGGCTATTCTTCCCGAGCACTCGCATTGGGAATGACACGGCTAATGTTAAATTTTTACTTTATTTAAATTTAAGAATATTCTTTTACCTACGATCAGTACTGTAAATACTTAAAAACACACCGTCTGCGATCAATGTAAGATTCCTATTACGTACGGTAAAAAAATCGCATTTTTCCTAGCAACCGCCTAGCAATGGTCAATACAATACTGTTTGTATTGACCGTTGCTAGGCAGTTGCTAGGAAAACTGTACGAATTTTTTACCAAGCTCTGCGATTTTTTTACAGTACGACGTAATAAGAATCTTGCATTGATCGCAGACAGTGTGTTTTTAAGTATTTAAGCCTGAGCCAATTAATGCCATGTTCCTAATATTGCCAGTAGACTTAAAACCGTGACGTCATCATTCTTCCGACAAGTGTGCGTATTAAAACATCCGTGGCCTTAAAGTCAATCACGTAAATACATCCAACAAAAGCCAAGACGCATTAGCTACCGAAGGGAACACTGTCGTTTTCTGTTCATGCCGATTATAAAAACTCTTGTTTTTATTTTACTGCTTATCAACTTTGTATTAAAAAATAAAAAGTGACAAAAATATCATAAGGTAAGTTTATTCAGTTGTCTCGATGTATTAGATTGTTGTTATTGTAACTGTAAAGCTACTATTTTTAAATTGTAAGATGTTTAATAGGTTCAGGGGTACCTAATATTGCCGTCCGTAGGTGTTCCAAATAGGTGGTGTTCTGTGTGTCAGCGGTATGTTTATGAAGAATGTGTAGGTTTTACTAAAAGCAACAAAGAGATTTTTATATGCCCTAGCTGTGTAACGTTTAGTTTTATCTAGTTTTTACATTTATTATATGCACCTAGCATTCATTATGTTTCTTTTTTGAAAACAAGTAAATACTTATTTTGCTTAATTGAATTTTTCTTTGTTTCCATGCTTCTTCCTTTATTTTTAGAGGTGTTCCTGATATTGTCACTACCTGGCAATATTTGGAACAAATGTTCCAAATATTGTCATTAGTAAAAGTTTTTAAAAAATGATAAAAAACATATTTTTATTAAAGTTATAGATATGGTACATATTTCAAGCCTGTAAAACATGTTGTACTGTACGCTCAATAAATTATAGACTGATTCAGATAAAATATTTACAAAAAATATATATATTTTGACTTAGCATGGCAATAATTATTGGTTCAGGTACCTTTTAGTACGTAATACGTGGTGTAATGCAATTACGCACTCATAGAATTACGCACTCGCCGCTACGCGGCGTCGTGCGTAACTTTTCCATTCGTGCGTAAAATGCTTTTTACAACACTTATTACGTAATATACTATTACATACGACCTCTACTGTAAATACTTAAAAACACACCGTCTGCGATCAATGTAAGATTCCTATTACGTACGGTAAAAAAATCGCACAGTTTGCCTAGCAACCGCCTAGCAACGGTCAATACAATACTGTTTGTATTGACCGTTGCTAGGCGGTTGCTAGGAAAACTGTACGATTTTTTTACCAAGCTGTGCGATTTTTTTACCGTACGACGTAATAGGAATCTTGCATTGATCGCAGACGGTGTGTTTTTAAGTATTTAAAGTAGTGGTCGTAGGTAAAGTATAGTACGTAATACGTGGTGTAATGCAATTACGCACTCATAGAATTACGCACTCGCCGCTACGCGGCGTCGTGCGTAACTTTTCCATTCGTGCGTAAAATGCTTTTTACAACACTTATTACGTAATATATTTACTATTATATCGTTTTTTGTAAGTTTTAAATACATTAGTGTGTATATTTTATGAAACACATGTTGGTTGTTCTTAAATCCTCCCAAATTCTTGTAAAAATAAATTAATTTGAAGTTATTCATTTTTATAGTAACTATGTAAAACAAGAGTCAGATTCGATCTGTACAACTTCAACTATGACAATTTGCCTAAATATGTGACGTCACACTAAAAGAGTGTATTCCCGTATTGAGTCGAAAGAGGACTATTTTGGATGAATACATCGGTTTTGCCAAAAAAAACTTTTTGTGTTCTTATTTTTAAAAAGTCTTGTTTACTTTGGAACGAACTTTGTATTCTTCAGCTGTCGTAAACTTTTCACCTTTGAAATACTCAGATCAAAGACTAAACGATTCCATATGTTTTGCCTTATCTGAAAAATAAGAAACACATTTTCCGTAAGATTCTTCGTTTTTTTATACCTACACCAAGCATGGAATTATTTTCATGACTGCTCATGTATGAAAGTTTACGATATCACACATACGATATCTGAAACTTCTAAGGATTTTTTTTAACTCATCTACAACACTATAATATAATCACTATCAAATATTTTTAACTTTTAAGAACAACAATGACAACTACTACAACTGTGACATTTACACAAAACCAGTATTACGCAAACATTGCTTTGTCTAGTACCTACTCAAAATCTACACTTACCTTAATTTCATTCTATTTTCTTTATGTAATATTTGTCATTCAAAATGTAAAAGTTGATAAAAGCAAACAGATGAGTAATTTGAATATTTTACAAGAGATCAACGAAACATAAATGGATATATTTTTTTGTTTTTATCTTTATTTAATTCCAAAAATTACATTAACTTGCAAAGTTGCAGCCATTTTATACAATTTATAAAATACAGCTATCTCTATTTTAAAATATGAATAATTGTAATGTAATAAAATTTAAAAACTTCTCCTTGACAACTAAACTATTTTTTATAAATTCAGTGTACTTCCGATTGCACTCTGTTTTTTATTTATAACTAAATTAAATTTACAAATAAATACATAGGTACAAAATATCAAGAGATACTAATATATAAAAAATTTGTCATATACATTGTTTTACGTTTAATACCTGTTTTTCTGTCAATTTATAAGTACATAATGAATATTTATAGGTTACCAGTCTTTATAAAAAAATGTATGCCTTTAGCGCTCTTAGGATTGTTAAATCCAGCAACAATTACCTGGAAAGCGAGATGATCTATAAATCTGATCCTCAATTTTATTTTTTTTTTTCTTAGAACATATACTTTAACAAACTAATTACAACTAAGAACACAACGCTACTTCCAAAAGTTGACGCTCCTCCTCTGCCCAACACACCAAACACCACCAAATTGTCTACAGTTGTTGTAGAACTGAAACTGATAGCAATTGTTTGGTTCGTTACTTCTGAGGTGTAGGTTGTGTTGAACACCGGCAAAAGGCCCGTTGTTAAAGTGACGGGTTGGTAGAAATGATCGGCTTCCGTTTCGAAATTTCCGGTTATGGATATTTTAGAAAATCTAGTGGTGAGAGTAACATTTCGACTTCCACAAGTGTTTAGATCGGAGCTCTCACAGGATACTAGTGTGCAGAGTCTGATGTTGCCCATTGAATCGCCCAGTTTGGTGGGTCCGTTATACACAAGCAACCTGAAAAAGGTTTTAGGATAAATTAAGTATAGTCTGTTTGGAAATAAAAGAGAGTAATAAAACCCCGAGATAAGAACCGGCCATGGCCGTGGTAATATTTCGTTTCAAGTAATTATCGGGTAACACTAATGCTAACAAAAATGACAGGGATTGGAAAATCGACTATCTACAGACTTTTAAAGGAAAAAAAATGAACAAGATACTGTAAATCCCCCAAAATCATCTACAGGGAGGTCAAAAGTCGTTATAGATGATTTCTTCAAAAATGTCATTCGCAGAAAAGTACACTCATTTTATTTTAAAAAAGAAATACCAACGCTAAACAAAATTTTAAGTGAACTTTCAGAGGACAACGATTTGCCAAAAATCAGTAGAAGCAAATTATGGGCCGTCTTACGAGAGTTGAATTTTTGCTGGGAAAAGCAGAACAGGAAGTCAGTTCTTATCGATAAAGATGAAATTATTTGTTGGCGAAGATCCTACTTAAGATCAATTAGAAAATTCCGTGACGAAGGGAGGAATATTTATTATCTAGACGAAACTTGGGTCAACGAGGGATATACTGTAACAAAAGTATGGCAAGATAAAAATGTAAAAAGTTTTCGACAAGCATTTTTGGATGGACTTTCAACAGGGTTCAAGGCACCTTCAGGTAAAGGGCGAAGATTAATAGTGACACATATAGGTAGTGCCAGTGGTTTTGTAGATGGCGGTTTACTTTTATTTGAATCTAAAAATACAGGTGACTATCACGAAGACATGAACGCAGATGTTTTCGAAGAGTATTTTACACAGATGTTGGATCTTATTCCTCCGGGGTCTGTAATTGTCATGGATAATGCCAGTTACCATTCACGGCAGACCGAGCGGACGCCTACGACTGCTTGGAGGAAAGCCGATATAATTCAATGGTTATCCGGAAAAAACATTTCTTTTGAAACAAATATGGTGAAAAAGGAACTTTTGACACTTGTCAATCTTAATAAAGATCAGAAAAAATATGTTATCGATGAAATGGCAACAAATCGCCAAATAACGGTACTACGGTTACCACCTTATCACTGTGAACTTAACCCAATCGAATTAGTCTGGGCGCAGGTAAAAGGAGATGTAGCGCGAAATAATACGACGTTTAAATTAAGTGACGTGAAAATTTTGTTAAAAAATTCCTTGGAACGAGTAACTGCAGATAACTGGCAAAGATGTATACATCATGTACAAAAAGAAGAGGAGAAAATGTGGGAACTCGATAATTTAATTGACGTTACTGTGGAACCTATCGTTATCAATCTAGGAGACGAAGATAATTCATCAGAATATTCAGAGGATGAATTTTAATATACCTACTTTTTTATTTTCTTTATTGTACATTTATACAACACTACATTTACTCACCATAATTTGAATTTTCAAAATACATATATTTTTGTGTGGAATAAAAGTCTATTCATTAAATTTAAATAAATATTTTGATAATAATATTGAATAATTTTATTTGAATTACTAAAAACCCTCTTAACCCGGTTATGATGCTTAAAGTAGCCTCATGTTTTGAAATGCTGTTTTTATATTGTTTACTTATAAGAGAAATGGACCGAGAAATTGAAGCGGCATAGACAAAGACGGATTGTCGGGGATTAAATTTTAGCTACCTGCTACAATTTAGTACAGTCCGATCGCATAAAGTTTTTTTAAAAGTGCACATCCTATACCGATAATACATAATATAAAAATATTGAATATAAGCACCAGTACTACATTTATTTACGATTTGCATACATAATAAACTTTTATTACCTCTTTCATTTCTAAACAGACTATAGGTACTAAATTCTTTATAATTAAACCGCATTAAGACATTACGACCTAAAATATAGGTCCTCACATTTGAAACATCATCATAGTGAGGCTTCATAATCGAGGTGGTAATATTTAGAATACTTACTGGTATACTTCGCTTGCTGTAACTGCTGAGGCAGAAATCGTGAAGTTACAGCAGAACGATCCAAAGCACAAAGTGTCCTGACTTTCTGTAGTCGCCGACAGTTCCAACTGTTTGAAGGCGTAGTTAGAAGCCTGGAAATCTCTCACACTAATAAAATTCTTCAATTCTGATTTACTGGCATTTAGGATATCAAAACCAAAGGTGCTCTGAAAGTTCAATCGCCGTATAGTACCACCTACTACAATATCAAAGTCAATACTTACAAATACGCTGCCAGCGTCTCTAGGAGTTCCTCTAGGATAAAGATCTGCAATCTCTAGCTTACTGCTACTAATTCCAGAAATGTAATAAGTGTCTATGATACCGTCATGGCGGTATATGCCACTACCGCCAAGGCCTTGTGAAGGACTGTTAAAATCAGCCGCCAGAAGGTTTACTTGATTTGCCTGGGAGTATCCTGACTGAATGCTGAGAGCTACAAGTAAAGTAAATAAATGGTTGATAGGGGTTTTTGTGGTTCAATGTAGGAAGAAATTATTATCACTATTTCGAACGCCAATGTGTTACTTACAATGATAAAATGGCAACACAGATGTCCAAGCAGTTGGGAAAATGATGTCAGTTACAGAGCTGTTTAAAATGGCCTTGGAAGGATTATAGTACATAATATCAAAGCAGGTGAATATTCCAAATGTAATTCCAAAATCTGTAGTAAAGGTCACCGTTTCGTTACCAGGAGTAATTTTTGGTTCGAAGAAAAGGTTGATTTTTCTGTATCTGGAAGCAGTTAATAAATAGTTAGTAGATATTGTATAGGGTATTGCTTTTATTGAAATTCAAGCGGTTTGGAGAATTTGCAAATCAATGCAATTCCGTTTTTTTATTTTTTTTAAGTAGACATACATCCCACCCACGAAAAAGTTGTAACCAAAATATTTCAGCATAGCAGTATGTCAAATATCATGTATATTTCAAACTAATCAGTCCAAACTATACATTATGTAGATTACTTTTACTAACATTGGTAATGTCAAATTTCCTAATTTTTATCTCATGATTCTTAAAGTATTTCAATTACTATTTATTTAACTTTATCATTCTAATAAATTTAATATTTATTTTTCTAATTATCGCTAGACCAATTATTTTTCCCTAAACAAACTTTCACAATCATGTTTCATTTCATGGTGATATCTGAACCTACATTTATTTCTGAACATGAATTTTATACGTGAGGATTATAAATGATAATAAATAGTTAAAGGTACTTATTTTTTAATTTTTTCTATTATCATATACAAAATATAAAATTATTTGAAAATGTTCTCGACTAAACCGAGCAAATATTTTCCCTGTGGAAAAAATTTACTTAGATATAAATACTGTTGGTCTTATCTGTATTGTGTACACAAATGATAATCCTTCTCAGAAAACCTTCGATTAATTCCTTTATTTCAGTTACTTCAATCATAAAATGTGAGGTTAATACAAAAAAAATGTTAATGTACACTGTGTAAAGCATAAGGGTAATCTACTTTTATATCACTGTCCCTGTAATTGATAAAAGATGCAATAAGAAAATTACTACTATACTCGTAGACTACTAACACTGTGACGTTTTCATTAAATAAAAATATTATTTTTAACTACAACCTAGACACGTCAGTATTATCCAGTCGCAATTCGGGTCATAATTTTACGGAAACTCGCTACTGAGCTCCATGTTAGAAACTTGGACAAAGCTTTAGGTTTGATAATAAGAAATCCTCGATATTTTCACAATTTAAATACAATGAGTATTTTTTTTTACTTAGATCGAGATCTGATTACAATTGCACTATCGATGTTCACATTTTGATAAATATATTGATAACTTGATTGATACAAACACATTTCCTTAAAAAATCCTCATTAAAAAATGAACGGAATCTACTGTTAATACACCACAACCCTATTTCCTTGAGTTTAAATTCAATGTCCTTGCAAATTGCAAAAGTACGTCTGAGTTTAAATAAATTAATTCATGATTGTACTGATCGTACATAAATATTGGAAACGCTCAATTTTCACGTCCCCAGACAAATCTCAAGATATACTACAGAGAAAGTCATATATGTATGTACATTACTAGTTGCTTGCTTTTTGCTTTTTGGTTATTTTACGTCAGCCTATTTCTGCTACTACAGCTAAACACCGACGCCAGAAGACGAGCAACCACTAACATGGTAATTTTGCCGAACCCCCTCTTTGCCATAGAGTAGGAATCTTTTTCTTGTCTAACATTGTTTAGACAATGAACCAACGATTTTACATCATTTCCGAGGGATTGTATGTCTTCCTAAACAAACTTCGCCTAAATTTGTATAACTTCTGAGATTGCACCGACATATAGGCCACTAGAAGGTAGACGAGCATCGAGAGCCTTCCACGGATGGTCACACATGCAAATACTAACCGCGATCAGCGTTGCTCGACTCTTCATATAAATGACATGAATCAAGTCGCTAGACAGCACTTGTACATACATTACTAATTTTAAACTGCATTATAAAATTTTTCAAAAATAGTTACAAGATCATCATGACAATATTTCCAAAAGTTGAAACATAGAACACAGCAAAAATGTACTCATTTTGTAATTCACTCTTCTAAGAGCCTAACAAAATCATTAATACATTTTGAAACATTTGTGCTCCGAATATCATAATGTATATTCCTCTTCAGATCATTAGAGGCTTATTCTTAAACACCCAGCGCATAAGGCAACCTAGTTTCCGATCGTAGCAAGTCACCACCACAAGAAATTAACCGTTGAAGAAAGAGTTCTCGGAGTATTTCCATGGGAATTCTTGCCGAAGGACTGGTAGCATCATTGAGCTCAACTAATAATTTCCAGGTAACTGTTCCACCTAAGGAATAGGATCCAATAATTCTAAACTTTAAAGTAGCACACGATACCGATGCTTTTGGCGAATATAATAGTGTTTGGTGAGTTTTACAAAGATTTTATCTTGACCAATAATGAAAGTTTTGTCCGTTTACACATTCATTCAGATAAAAATTATTACTTATAAAGGAACGCTCTGTGATATCCATATGATCTCTCAAAAAAAAATGGACCATTTTACAGAGAATAGTAGCATTCGTCGTGATAAGAAAAGCCAAGAACTGCTGCAAGTATCGCTGTGGATTTTGAACAACAACACGTTCTACTTGTTATTGGTTTTCTGCAATACACACAGTTCTAGGAATTCCCGTTCGTTTTCCATCGCGGACAGGTCCATTTATACGCTGATGCATTTCAACATACTTTCTTATTGTTAGTGTTAACAGAGCTGGGCAATTATAAACATTGAACTGACGTCGAAGTATTTGCTAAGTTTGAATAATTGATTGATTTTAACAAAATTCTCGACACAAAATTTTCGCTGTTGTATTGTATACACATTTATTTTTGACAACTACAGTAGTTTGATAATATTTGGATTTCGATTTAACGTTTCTATCACAAATTAAAAATGACCATAAACATCTCTTCACTTTTATACTTTATTTTAATTTCCAACATCAAGAATTAATGTACAACAGTTTTCACCATTGTTTTGAATGTGTTAATAAAGATATGAAATAGTTCCACTGATTTTTGTTTCTTAATTTTTGTGTTTTATATATTGATTTCTATTCTGCTCTTGTATTGTGTATTACTTGTGTACTGTAATCGTGAAAACTGCTGTTTGTCCTACTTTACAATTAGATTTGTAATTGCGATGTGTAATAATTTTATTATACATTTAAGTACATAAATAGGCACTGGAGGCTGGGACATTGGTACAAAAATTATGTGTGACAAAATTCTATAATTTTGTGTCATTGTTGAATGTTATATATTACTCTGTTTTCAAAGGTGTTAAAGGAGTAACATTATATAACTGATAAGATTACCTTATATTAATTATGCGATATACTTTTATCTGTATATTATGATGTTGAAATAAGTTAATACGATTACTAGAGTACCTACTTTAGATAAGGACCTGTTTTTGTCCCCTCAAATGTTTCAGTTAGTGTAAGCTGCAGTAGCAATTAATGGACATTAAATTAATTTAAATTAGATATGTGACATCATATATATTCACGTATTATCAACAGGAATACTTACAATCGACTACACATTAAAATTAAAGTTGCATTTGAAACTGAAATGCGCCTTAAAGTGGGAATTAAATACTGTCCGTATAGTAAATGCCGGAATAATACAAAATGTCATCAAATATTATAAAGAATAAGTACAGTTGAGCCGTTGGATCTTTAATTATTTCACGTCATATACATCGATATAAAAGATAAATTGATTAACGTGAATTAGCTAATAATAGAAAAAAACAAGCATGAGTTGTGTGACTGATACTAGTTCCGACAGGTTATTAATTGTCCCTAATGAATGAGAAAGAAACAGACAGATTGTCGTTTGTTGTGCACTAAAAATTTAGACATATATTTGACTAGCATCGTTTCCTACGTTCTTTGTTGTCACTTTGTTGTTCTCTGGTTGTTTCATTAAATCGAGGTTAAGTTTATTTGGTTTTGGTCGATTTTAATCTGTCATAACGAAGCAAAAAATCACAAAATATATTTTCATTATACAAATGTGATTCCTCACTATTTCTTAAATGAACACAACCGACTGATTTGAACTCGTTAGAAATCTTAGTTCATACGATTATGCTTGATGACATGAACGTAAAGATACAACGTTTCAACTGTGGTACATGCTGATAAATTTGGGTGTCCAGAAGCAAATATGCCATTCTTCATGAATAGTTTTCATGAATGAAAATAAACCCATTTAGGTCAAGTTACCTTAATACAATTTTGATTACTACGGTCCTTCAAAGAAGTTTTTTTATTCCACTTTTTTAGTAACTGTCATCTTTTTAAATGTTTCAATGAAATTTGCTGTAGGAAGGTTTCTGGAGTAAGCGAAGATAAACATAAGCATATATGAGTCCTTGTTTTTATGGATATAGATTTTGACAAAGTATCACTTTATTTAATATAAAAAACTTATCGCGTCTATAAAATGCATCATTCCAGAGTAAAACAGATTTCAACCTGGAATCATCATTTCATTCAACAAATGAAGGAGTTTTCTTTAAAAAATGAAATAAAACAAACTCTGAAGACCTGCAACTTTTTAAGGGAGGAAGATCGTATTAAGGCAACTTTATATAAATCGGTGTACATATTTTCATCCAAGGAAGCTGCTCTTGAACTATAGTCCGTTTGCTTCATCATTCATCATTTCATGATGCATTAAAAATTACTTAGACCTTTCCTCATGTGTTATACTTACTTTGCAACTATTTGGCCGATTACATCAAAGACGATATTTGTGTTGTAGTAAATTGTGTCGTTGTTTTCGTTCCTAGCTTTCTCCAACAAATTTATTACAATATACAAGCTGTGCTCATTAGCTGCATTCGACAACTTTTGTAGCCACTGAAAACGACAACAGTGTAAGAAAAATATTTTAGATCATCTTATTTACTTACATAATTCTGGAAGACTGTTCCATTATTTATACTTGGTATTTCGATGGCGTATTCAGTAGGATCTTCTATTAAACCTGTCAATCCGTATTCTGGAAAGACTATTATCTGAACTGCGTTAGCCTGGAATTACAATATTTATTACAAAATCGCTTTGAATTATAAGATGGTTTAGAAAGTTCAAAGCAACCTTTTGTTTGTGTTTTAAAGATAACTTACCTTGGCTGTTTCAATATAATGTATGTATTCCTCCAGATTTCTTTCTACAGTGGCATTTGGTGATGATTCAATTATTGGTGAATATTCAACTACAGCAGCCTTATATTGCTAAAAAAATTAAGGATTTTGTTAAACATTGTTCTAATGCTGTATATTTTAAGTGGTAAAGAAAAAACATACTTAAAATATAATTTAAACTTGCTTCAATTCAAATTAAATAGGTGTCAGATGTATAAAAAAAGTTTAACATCGAAAAATGTAATAAGACTCCTAGAGTTCTGAACATTGTAAATTTTTTTGTTTTACTTAACGAAAAGAAATTTTGAACAAAAAAATTAGTAGAACATACATGAAAATGGTTACCTGTAAAATGACCTCCTTATAAAAATAGAAGTATAAAAGTTTTATAATTGTATTTGCTGAAGTAATTAACAAGGCCGACTTATTTACCTGGTAAAGACTATAAAATAAAAAAATTACACTTGGCAATTACCTGTTCTTACGCATGTAAATAAATTTAAATATAAAGATACGTAACTATGTCAGTACTTTTTGAAAGGTCTGCATTTGAAAGCCAGCCCAGATGTGTTTTCTTTAATGAAAAATACTAACAAGTTAGTATTTTTCCCAAACTACCGATGCCTATAATCGGATGTTTGCAATACGAATAATCTACTAACGTTTAAATAAACAATAATTATTATTTTACCCTCAAAAAAAGTTGTTAAATAACTAAATACGAATACCTACTAATTGTGTCGAAATAATAAATGAAAATTATGGAAAACATAGTAAATCGCCAAAGTATATTACGGTGATAAGCATAAAAAAATTATAAAAATTCAGTTGGGCCTATTTACGGAAGTACACCCCTGTAAAGTTTTAAAATCAAATTTTAAAATTCTTAATTCTGAAATGATTCGAAATAAAAGTCTGTGCCTTGCTGCTGCAATGCAAATCGATCCAGGATATATTTTAGTGATATTGCCGTTAATATAAAGCAATTAGTAATTGGATACTTGTATAAATAACAAATTATAAATCAAGTTATTTTAATCATCTTGTATAATTTTTCAAAATAACCGTGAATAAAACATTTCTCACATTTCTCCTAATTAAAAAAAGAGGTTTTACTTTTAGATGAAAGGATGTTATTTAAAAAAATTGTACATGATTATAAAAAAAAATTACACCACTATTTTAGTGTTTGAAAAAATTGTTTTATTTAATATTTCAAATCATTATGATCTGTAACGCTCCAGTTAATTTTGAATATCCATGGTTGCGTTCGGGCATGGTCGGGAGAATTCGCTGCTATCTTTGGCTGCTGTTTTCACACCGGTTATAAGCCACTGACTTTTTCTTTTTTTTTCATTGATACCACTAATCACGTCCTGATTCGACTTACACTACACCTGCAAGTTTCAAGTTTTTACTTCAAACTGTTTCAGAATTATTAAGAAATTTCAAATATTAATTTTAGAACTTTTCAAGGCCGTACTTTTGTAAATAAGTCGCAGTGACCAACATTTTATTAAAAAAATTTCAAAAAATAATAATTTTCCATACTTGTTACTGTATTTGCGCATTCAATTACGGAGCACACTGTATATAGCGGTCCATTAAAGAAAAAACACGTTAGTTCTGCATTTCTGTAACTCGATATTCAATTGTCTTAAATTCTTAAGTTTTTGAAAATCTAAAAATTTCCTGCAAATTTTATCCTTACACTTTTCTCATACATAGCTTTCATAAATGATTACAAGCCACGTGACCAGTAATTATGTTTGAAATAGTAATTTTATTTCCTTCATGTTGGTAATTAAACTTCGGTAAAATTAAAAATTATTAAAACAATAAGATCAAGATTACATTAAAACGGAACATTCTGTTTCACAGGCTGTGATTGATGTAATTTTTCACTAGATTCCATCTATTCGCATTATCTCGAACGTAGACGTGATGGTTTGTCATTGTTTATTGTAAACAATAGATTAACATTGGTGACGCCAAAATTTAGGGATTTTTCGTTGCGTACCAATCGTGCAATGTTGGGTTGCCGAGGCACGGTGTTCACGTAGCTTGTAAACATTTATGAAGGCTGTGTATATGTAACAAAATAGACAAGAAAATAGAGGGAGATACTTATGTGTACATAATAAGTAAAGTATATTAAAATTTTGTTTGTAATAGGTTAGGTAATTTTCGAAAAATTATATAAAAAATAAAATGGTTTTAGATTTTCTATGTGACTTTCAAAATAATTTGTTCATCCGCAATCCCTTTCAGTATTTTCTACTAATTTTGATTCAAATATGTAGTAGAAACAACATTTTAATAATTAAATTATATACAATTTGAGCACCTAAATAACTTGACTTTTATTTACAAAAGCAACGTCATAATTTCAGTATATATGGTTTCGTTAATTGCTGACCACAAAGGATGCTAATCTCGGTGCTAATTTAATTTTCAAATATTTATTTACGTAATAGTGTCATTTACCATTTGCGTGAATGCAATTAACAATGAGTATACGAGGTCTGTTCAGAAAATATCCGAACTTTATTTTTTTATTTATTTATTTATTTTTTTAAACTTTTTTATTAATTTTGTATACTATTGGTCCTTGTCTCCTTCCCCTATTCACACACTTCTCGCAGCTGTATTTCCATTTCGCGAAGCACTACTGGATAGCTTTATTTGAAATGGCCTTAAAGTTTGTGACAAATTTGCTTTGATGTTATCAATAATTTGAAAACGGCGTCCTTTTAGCACAGGTTTTTTAATTTCGGAAATAAGAAAAAATCGCAAAGAGCCAGATCTGGCGAGTAAGAAAGGTGAACAGTAATCTGATTTTTGGTACAAAAATGACGAATTGACAAAGCTGAATGTGCAGGAACCATTGACATTGGATCGAGCTCTCTTGGGACGTGGAGATCCTTTGCCAATCCATCGTGATGATTGAACTTTTGTCTCAATGACGTAGTCGTAAACCTAGCTTTCCTCTCGTTGCCGACAAACGTCCACATGATTTTCTTTCTGCTGTTCGGTCATCAAACGAGGAATAAATTTTGCTGCAACTCAATTCATGTTCAATTTTTCATTCAAAATTTTATTGTATGGCCCGATTGAGATTCTAACCTCTTTTGCAATTTCTCTGGCAGTTAATCGACGATTTTCCCGCTCCAGATCTTTGACTTTCTGAACATGGAAGTCATCAGTTGAACTCAAAGGCCTTTCTGGTCGAGGATCATCTTCAATTGACTGACGACCACATTTAAATCTTGTAAACCATTCATAACATTGCGTATGAACCAGAGCATCATCTTCGCAAGCTTGTTTCAAAATTTGAAAAGTTTCCGTGAAAATTTTCCTAACACTTAACACATTATACTCAAATAACAATATCACAAAAACTAAATGAGATATCAACAATCGAACAGCATGTAGCTACAGATGAGGTTATGCGCAACGCAATGCTGACAACCCATATCACTAAATATCTCCATTAACGGGTAATTCAAAATGTTCGGTTATTTTCTGAACAGATCTCGTAGTTGTGGTAAATCTTATAGGGACGGCCCGAAATAATTCCAACTGTAAGTTTAATATCTATGTTACATATAGAACAAAATAGTGAAAAAATTAGAGAAGATAAGTCATTGTTAAAGGCTGACCCACCCTAAAAAGGGACATAATAAATTAGTTTGCGTTTAGCTTGGTTTAATGACAAAATATGTCGGTACCCATGCAATATCAAATCAAGAAGTTTATACAGAGTGGTCCATTAATGTAATAATTAAAATAACTCTGTTATTATTCGAGATAACACAAACATCATGTTAAATTAAAAGTAGGAGGGTGTACTGTATTTTAAAATTATATTAATTAATTAATTATATTATAAATTATTATCAAACAGAAATTTCTTATATTTTTATATTTTGCAGAAAACATATGTGCTAAAATGTATAATAATTTTCAAATAGGAATGGTTAGAACTAAAATGTTTTACACGATGAAGGACAAAAATTAGCTAACTGCTCTAGATCTGAGACATTCACTATTTTATACGAGGTTTTTTATAAAAGTGAAAAAGTGTCAACTTTACGAATTTCAAACAACATTCTCTTTAACTTTTCAGATATCGCACCCTATATTCAAGGGCCTCATTATTGCATCTCCTTTAATTTTTATGGAAGTATTTCATAATTATTTCAATCAACAAACTAGTGAAAATGAACTATGTTAAAAATAGAGTATTTTAATTAAAAAAATCTAACTTCTTGATCAGCACGGTTTCATGCATCACCCTGTATGTTTCAAATAAGTTAAAAAATAGAGTATTTTAAATCTCCTGAGACTTTCACTTGCATTTTTTTGTGCCTCGGGCAATAACAAAGTTATCACACTTCGTCACACTAATATCTAGGCCATTCTATATGAACGTGGCATTTGTCCAGTAACACATGAAGTTCCCTGTATGACAGGTATATCATTTATGTATTTACTTATTTATTTATTGCCACACTTTTCTACAGGTGACAAACATAACTACAGAACGGGAGGATAAAGACGAAAAAAAAATTACAGAAGAAACGTTAAATGAGGAAAAACAGCAATGGATAATAATGTAATAAATAAATGAATAAAGTTCTGGGAACCGAAATTCCAATTATTGAATCTAAAAGTGTGTCATATTGTCATTAAATATGTTTTAGTTTGTTTCCTACTTTCAGGCAAGGGTGTAACCATTTAAATATTTTACAAATTTTTTTTAGAGTCAATATTACAAGGAATTCAAGAAATTATATATAATCTTCAAGTCTTTAAGCTCGTAAGCTGCTAAAATAAAGATATCGATTATTATACAACGGTTTTTCCAAACAATTTGTTATATTAATCTAATCATCTATGAGACACCTGATAAAACACATTTGTTCGAGCGACTGATACAACACCGCTATAAAGTAGGTAGCAGTCAATATAATGGAAAATAAGTGAAATAAGTGTATTAAATTTTTTATAAAATTTATAGACAGATTTGTTTAAATATGTACCCAAGTATCAAACATTATACCTAACTCAACAAGATGAATTGTCAGATTACGAATAAACTAAGATTATAAATAATATTTTTATTAAATATTTTGGTATTTATGACATCAGTGAATATTTGAAATATTAAATAATCACCAATTTTTCAGATTGTTCACTATACTTTATAAAAAAGATATGTATAAATGATAATCCAAATAATGAATAATATAAATTATAATTATTGATCTGATAATTCGAAACATAACCAAAGAACAATCGAAAGTGCAGAAAGTTCAGGTTATTGTTTTAAGTACAGAAATGTTATGCATTACTAACACGAAATTATGCTGATTATCTCAAAAAAGTATTATTTCAGTTTATCTACCCAAAATTAAAGTGATCTGAACAAGATCAGGTACTCCTTATAAGCGTAAACCTTGTAAAATATTATGCAATAAAATATAGTAGACTACCTAGATTTAAAAAAATATAATGCTATTTCAATATTTTCGAACACAACAAATATGTTATTCGATCTTTATTTATTGGTTGCATTGTTGAGACAAATATGTAATTTCATGAAAATCTATCAAATTTTTGGTAGGTGCATTTCTCAAATCTGGTAAAAATTATTTATTTTAAGAATTGGCAAATGAGTTACTCCACAAATCAGTCCAAAATATATCATAAATAGATCAGGAAAGTTCCAATTAAATATAGACTTATTAAAAATGTATTGAAAGATACGACAGGTACTTTATTTTTGGTGAACCACACCTTTACTTGAGTAGAAATCGAAATATTAAATAATAAACGGTATTAGTAAATGATTTGTTTAAATTTAGTTTATAATACTTACACCCTGTACAACTGACGCAAAAGCGATAGCCACAAGAAAAGAAATTATGTACTTCATATCCATTTTCACTGCCGCCCTATACCTGCTTCAGCACTCGCGCTACTCCTGACGGATTTCGAATAAAAAATACTCTTCCAGGCGATATCTCGATACCCGGTGATAATGATAACAATTATTTGCTATTAATCATATCTATTATCACACATACCGCGGTGTTAAGAATTTTCGCAGTCAAGGATATGCGCACATTTTAGCGTAACGAAAAAAACCGATACATTTATCATAAATAAAGCTTCAAAGATTACCTAGTTACTGTGATGAGTGAATCAACAATTTCTATGAACTGAGTGTGAACTAACTAGCCACAATGTCACAATCCTTACGTACACAAATTTATCTATGTACTAACAATAAATAAACCTGTGACAAAGAGATAAATACATTATTTTGTTAAAATTGACGGAATTAAGCTTTTTTAATTTCTCTCAAAAATGCTAAAGTGTACACAAATGTGTTCAAAGCAAAATGCAAATGTTATCATCGTCATATGCTGCAATAAAAAAACTTTAGTTTTGTTGCTCTTTTTTATGTTGAATATTGGAATGGGTATGTATGAGTATTAACAAATATTTTCACAATATGAAAAGAATTTTCTACCGATTTTCATTTACAAAAATTTCACTGCAGACAAAATATTTCCGGATTATTGGGAATATTATCAAACGATAAGTAAAGGTGAGGTCCAAATATTTAAATGGAAACAGAAACAAAATATTTGTGATAAAAGGTCATAATTTCACATAACATAAACTCATAAATAACTTTTCTTTATAAAGTTATTACTGTACCTGATTAATAAAGTGAATTCTATGCTTTTCAATTGTTGATCATTTTTGGAAATACGTTTTTATATTTCCAGGGGTCTTCACTCAAATGTAGGTTAGAAAAATGTAATTATATACAGGGTGTTTGTAAATAAGTGCGAAATATTTTAGGGGGTGGTTGCCGAAGTTATTTTGTGAAAAAAAGTTCATATAAACGTAGGTCGAAATATACTTCGTTTCCGAGAGATACAGTGTTTACATTTTAATTTTTTATTTATTTTTATTAATTATTTCAAGTTTTAAAGACATTGACTCGAAATTTAAAAACGCTTTAGAGGAATAAATGTGCATTTTTTTGGGTGATTCGAATATTTCTACTTCCACCAGTGGCGTTCGTGCGAGATTGCCACATTTTTAATAAAAAGAAAATGGTACACCACTGACTTTTTCCCATTATGATATTTTTTTAGAAATCCGCCATCATTTCTGAATGAAATTGGTCACTTCAATTTTTTTTGTAGGATAAACCGTTTTTGAGGACAAAATTAAAACATATTTTATTGCAACTTTGTGTGTATTTTTAATTTCTATTGATACATTATCTAATAGGTGGCTGTAGATATTTCTTAATACAATACAACTATCAAATTTCGAGTCAATATCTTTAAAACTCTGAAATAAATTAATAAAAATAAATTAAAAAATAAAATTTGGTATCTCGGAAACGAAGCATATTTGGACCTAAGTTTATATGAACCTTTTTTCACAAAATAACAACCCCTTAAAATATTTCGCATTTTTTTACAAACACCCTGTATTTAGTAGTATTTTTTCCTCAAAAACATACCCGTGTTGATTCCGCTAGAATTCGCCACACTTTCCAATAGGGACCACGAAACCGCAGCTGAAACCAAGGACGATGTCTCAAAGGACCCAGAAGCCTAGCGCGGAAAAGGAATTTTCACCTCACTTTCCAAAATCCCATCGTCGTGACCAAAACCGCTTCGAACAGCCACAAACCGCTTCATTCACATCATATTTACACTATAGTTAACATTGACAATGGGCGATGCCGTCAACAGAGATCCTTAAGACAACGCAGTGCGGGAACGCGAAATTTTCAGTTCACTTTTCAAAATTGGCGCCGTCACGCCAAAAAACCGCTCCAAGCAGCTAAAAACACCCTGTCGCGTCGCAGCAGTCTATAATAAAATTGCGAAATAAGGACAACGAAGCCGTTCCAAGTTTCGGAAGTCAAAAATTCTCCAAAATTGACGAAACTCGAACCGAACGGAAACCCAGTAACGACAAATCCACACGAGGCCAATCCAGAAAGATGTCAAGTTCTAGAGAACCGGAAATGGTCAGGATGGCAGAGCCGAGCAGTGGAAAAATGGAAATGGTACCGCACTACGCCAAAAGAGCGGACCAGCCTTCCTGTGACCGAACGTCGACTCGATCCATCCGCAAAAATATAAGTGTACGGACGGACACCTGACCAGAGTTTGTACTCAACTTTACATCAATAACAGTATATTTCATTTTCAGAGTTATATTCTCTTAAAAAATAGCCACACGAGTTCTAAAGCTCACCCAGCTCCTCAAGCTGCCAACCTACGGTGTAGACCCTTAAAGGGTACCCAGCTCTTAAGCTGCCTTGTATACCAGCTCTAAAGCTGCCTTATACTTGCCCTCCAAAAGCTGGAGTGCAAAAAACTTCCCAAGTTTACAGGTACTCTACGGTGACCTAAAGACAAAATTCTTTAGTGCATAGCCACCACAAAGTGACAGTAAAAACAATAAGGGTCAGTTGAAACCCGAAAAAAACTAGAACTAAAACTAGCAAGTGAAGTGCATCAGTTCATCCTTGGATAAACAGCATAGAACTCGTCATGGAGGAAGAACGACAGACTCCACGTCATCCACACCTGGCATCCTTTACGAATGTCGTTACAGAGGAGGCGCCCCTGCCTAATAGAGCTCCATACAGACGAGCGGGTGACTAACCTCCTAGCACCACATCTAAAAATGGAACCAGACCAAGTCGTTCCATCCGACACCATATATATACTTAAAATGCGTTCGAGGGGACACAGGCGGTGCCCAGGAGAATTACACCCAACCCTATGCGCTGACACCTGAAAGCACTGCGGCCACTCAAAACCAGCCTACGTCCAATGCCATTACATGGCGCCCAACGAGTAGCTAGTTATGTCACCCAACGAACCAATGATCTCTCAAAATCCAAGGCAAAACCTATACCTAAATCTAACCCCACAAACAATCTTCCTAATTGATATAGCGAGAAACAACTTCTCTACAGGCAATAGGCCTAAACTAGCCCCGAAGTAATGTGGGAAACAACTGCTCTGTAGACAAACACCGCGTTAAATTACACCCGCAATATCAAGTAAACAGTTATGTTAAGATTATTTGAGGCCTATGTCCGCAGAGCAGGTGTATCTCACAATACATTAATTATATGTAGTTTATTATCCAACATTTGAGTAACAGCCAGTGAAAGTATAACACTGTTTTCAAAAATTATCTTTAGTTATTGTCCCAAAAACGCATTTTTTCTAAAAATAACTTTACTGCACTACTATAGCAGATTAGAGAAGCTACATTAAATTTCTTCCCCTTTTGCAATAATTTATATTCCATGCCTACTCAAATAAAGTATTAAATAAAAGGATGATATTAATTTAAAATAAAACAATTTATTTTAACGCAAAAAAAAAACAAAACCTTTGACAGGGTAGGTATATATCTCTAAATAAGTGAATACCTAAAATAAATTAGTTTTATTACTTTTTTCTGTGCTTAGTATAATAGTGGTGATAATAAAACAAACATTCTACATAATATTAAAACAAAAAATGCTTTTCCTACTAAATATCACAATATTTTAAAGATTTCGAGAATAATATCCCATTCTGTATACAAGTAGATATATGAAAAATATTTGATATAAAAGTACGTTATACTATAAAATAATGTGAAAGAACTGCTTCTAGACAGTACCTAATTAATTTTAGTCTCTGTGTTGCATTAAGCTCTTGCTTGCAATATTCAAGCCTAAAGTAATAAATATACAATATATAAATATATTCCACTTATCAACGTTATCCGAATTATTGACATTTTTATTTTTATTCGAGTTTCTGCTTCGATTTAAATCGGTCAAACAATGAACATGAAACAATAATTTACTCTACAGGTGGGCGACCAGTAAAGCCTCGGTGGCTAGGGACCAAACGGCAAATATTATAAAAACCTATTTGGTGGGTTTGTGTAGGTTGATTAGGGCTACATTTTAAAAATATTTTGAAATATACAGGGTGTCCAGGAAAAGCGTACCATATCAAAGTTATGTAGATATGTATTTTTAAATGGAACAACCCGTATTTTACTGCATATTTAGAAGCACCGTAAAAAATAGGTAAACTTTATTAAAAGTTCTGCATACCTAGGACTTATAGTTTGTGAGATATTTCAATTTTAGTGAAAATGCAGGCATGACGGAGAAATTTAATATTAGCAATAAAAAAATAATTTTAAGGAAGCAGCTTTGGAGGGTCTATTTTAGATCCTTGAAGTTATAAATTATTATATTTGTCGTCACTTAGGTATAGGGTAGTATAGGGTGTTCAAAAAAACTGCTGGATACTTTTCTCAACTTTAAACAGCAATAACTTGGTTATTTTAAATGGAACACCCAGTATATTTTTACTTTGGGTTTTAGTAAATTTAGTAGTCTTTCAAACTGTGTATAGGTTCCCTATTATACCTACCTCTAACGGTATTGGAGATATTTGTGCCATTTCGTTTTTTGGTAAAGCATCAATCATGACAATATTCAAGAAAGTTTTCTAATAAAAAATATTATTTTATAAGCAGAATAATTACAAAAAGTTATTAATTTTGTATAAATATGTTTGTTGTACGTAACAGAATTAAATTAATTGGGAACATGAAAAATATTTATTAAAGGAAATTTTACTTTTAGAACAAAGAAAAATTTTAATTGATCGAATTGATAAATATTCTATCTTCAAATGATATTCTCACATTCCTTAGAATATCTGAGGTGATTGTGGCAAGTAGTAGGTGAAACACTGTGTACAAGATTTTTTATATAGCCCCATTCTTACTTCGATTTAAATAATTTCTCTCAGAATATGAAAAATTTAAATGTGTGCCATTTAATGGCATCCTCATTTTTCTCCTTATATTTAAAGACACCAAAGAACTCAAACCAATTCAATAAAGACTTCCATGAAAACACGTGGATACATCTTACAAAAAAAATCGATAAAAAACGAAACGGCACATATATTTCCAATACCGTTAGAGATAGGTATAGGGAACCTATACACAGTTTGAAAGAGTTTTAAATTTCCTAACTTCCAAAGTATACTGGGTGTCCCATATAAAATAACCAAGTTATTGCTGTGTACAGTTGAGCGAAGTTGCAGTTTTTTGAACATCCTGTACAATACTAAGTAACGACAAATATAATAATTTATAACTTCAAGGATCTAAAATACACTCTCTAAAGCTGCTTCCTCAAAATTATTTTTTTATTGCTAATATTAAATTTCTACCCTAAGCCTGCATTTTCACTAAAATTAAAATATCTTACAAACAATAAGTCCTAGGTATGCAGAACATTTAAGTTCACCTATTTTTTCATGGTGATTTCAAAAACGTAGTAAAATACAGGGTATTCCTTTTAAAAATACATAACTCTGAAAAACTACGCTTTTCCTGGACACCCTGGATATTTCAAAATATATTAAAATGTAGCCACCTAAACAGGTTTCTATAACATTTGCCGTTTGGTCCCTAGCGACCGAGGCGTTACTGGTGGCCCACCCTGTATAGGTAGTTTTCTAATTTTGTTGAAATAGACTTCTATATTAGTAAGTCATGGACTTTATATGTGTTATAAACCTATCTATTTATTCACTTCAATTTTTTTTCTCACTCAATTTAACTCTCTTCAGAGCAGTTTTAAAATATAATACGACCATTTTTGTACTTTTATCGTTCATTATTTTGCCAATAATTGGGATATTTATCATATAAATATTTTAAATCATTTTTACCTTTTGGTACTTTTACATAAATATTAGCACTTAGATTAAGGATCCTGCACATTAAAATCCTTTTTACCATAATTGTCACCCAAATTATTTGCATATTTTTTTTACTTCAATTCACAGTACAATATATATACCTAAAGATTTAAGTATTCTTTTTTCAAGAAACTGAGTATTTTGATACCACGAGTTCAATACCTTATTAAACAGTAAACATAGATATATTAATAACAAACTTACACTTCATCATATTTTCGTAACTAATGTGAAAACAATTTGTACCTAATTATTTTGTTGATTGCAAAATGTTAATATCAGGTCTAATATTATAAAAGTATGATAGACAATGAAATTCGTACATTGTCATCTTTTATTGAATGGTATAACAAAAATCTGAAATTCGTTGTTAGAAATCTTAGCTGCAAATTCGAGACAATCAATTATTTACAGTCAATATTATAAAAAAATAAATGTTTGAATGAGAAATTCAGTCGACTTTTATATGCAATATTTACGGCAACTAGTTATTCATATGTTTTTGTCACGTTTGCGATAAAGTTAAGTACTTCTGTATAATTAATATCTCCACAAAAAATCGTTTAAACATACCAGTACATAAATACTTGTGAATTTTTTTTTTATGAATTGGCTAATATTGGCACTACAGATCTTTAGTTTTCAGTCAACCTAAAATTAATGCACAAACATCTGTATCAAAAGTAATTTTTGTATATCAATCTCATTTACTATAAAATCAAAACTTCTCCACGGGCATTCAATGATAATTTGCCGATTTCATGTTTAAAAATGTGCAGGATTCCGATTATATTTCATGAGACTTAAATGATAAGTTTCGACCACAAAATCGAAAGTAAAGGTAAAAAGCTCACAAATAACACGTGCGAGACGAATACTGAAGCACTATTTTTCAAGGTAAATAATACTCCGAAAACTGACAGATCTTTTGGCTCAGACAAATTCATTGTAATAGTTACTACGCCTTCTTTCTTTTCTTCTTTGAGCTCAAAATTAGCTGGCACCATTTTCGAACCTGAAGCAAGTGAGAGTGGTAACACTTGCTCTATTGTATCTGTTTTTAAATTCACTACAATGGTTAAATTATTGACAATTTTTGGTTGATCTTTACTTTCTTCAGGTTTAATCAATGCACAAAATACAAAGTTCTTCTGCTGTCCCAACAACTCCGTACCATTTGTAAATGACAGCCACCTGAAAAAAGTAAGTCTTTATTTAATATTTCTTAATAATGATAAGCATGAAAAAGCAATTAAATTACAGTTGTTTATTAACACTGTTATCTGCTATTATTATTATACAGGGTGGTGCGAATTTTATGCAAAAAACTTCGAGGGCAGATAGATCACTTTAAAATAGTAGGAGTTTGCCTTATAAACATAGGTCTAGAAAGATGAGCTCTAAAGGTTAAACCAGTGGTGTACATCTGGACAGGGCTCACCCTCTTTTTATAAAAAAAAAACCTATGCCACTGTATTTTTTACAAGTTACTGTAACGGATTTATATTATAATGCACTAAACACGTAAAAAAGGTAACTTGAATTTTTTTCCCTAAGATTCACCATTCTCAAGTTATTCATACCAATACAATCCCCTTGTGGCTGACACTTATAAACCATAATATTACAAGAATATTTATGTTTATGCAAGTGCAATTTGTAAGCAGATCAACAAAATTCTTTCCACATCACCTGTGAGGTAGTGTTCCTAGTACGTTTTAGTTTCCCCTGGAGGCCTAATCCACTATCTTTACAAATAAGAACAATTTAAATCAAAATAATAATAAAAATACATTTACCAAGCAACAACTAAACAAAAAACAAAATTAATGTTCACAATTGTTCAAAATACGAACCATCCACATCGATACATTTGTGACATCTTCTATTAATGGAACTAATTGGAGGTAATACCATGTGGTGGTTTTCTTTTAATTCATTACACCCGTCTTCTATTCTCTCAGTAGTTATGTCTTAGATATATTGCAGTAGAGTAATTTACTTTTCAGATAGATAACCCCAAACATAGAAATCCAGGGGGTTTAGATCCAGCGATCTGGCTGGCCAAGACACTGGATCCTCTACACCATTGGCATTTGGTCTTCCATCCATCGCCCATATAATTTTCATTAAACCATTCTTGTATTATTCTCCCAAAATGCGCAGGAGCAGCATCTATTTGTATCCAGCTTATTTGTGGTATATTTAATGGAACATCCTCTAATAATTCAAATAGATGGTTTTCTAGAAAGTTTAGAAATGACTGATAATTTAGATGGGGTGGCAAGAAGAATGGTCCACAAACTTTATTGCGGCCGTTCCAGACCTATGTTTATAAGGCAAACACTTATTATTTTAAAGAGATCTATCTGCCCTCGAAGTTTCCTGCATAAAATTCGCACCACCCTGTATGTTATTTCTGACTTATTTTTCACATACCCAGCCCACTATCCGTAAACTTGCATATGTGCTTTACAAAAACGTTTTCTACGTAGATTTTGACAAAATTTTAACCACCTACACTAGTGTTTTCATACATACAAGCTATTACAAATTCGGTTCTCACTACAGAGATCACAGAAACGGTAAGAGATACGAAGTAGTTTAAATAGTAGCAAAGTTGCATAATTAAGGGACCAACATTATGTCTCTAAATAATCAAGGATAACATGATTAATTTTCGAAATATTTGAGAAAAACCGAAATTTTGGAAATCCGTCTTTGTTTCATTTCATCCTTGTTTGAGGTGACATTGAAAAAAAAGAATATTTCCTCATGGCAACTTTTTGCCCTCTATCGAATGGCATAATCAATTTTTATATGTAACGTTTTATCTCTCCAGGACCATTATCAACTTAATTTTTTTTAAATATGACCCTGGAAATTGTATTACATTTTTTGCAAGCCTTCATAACCCCCAATAGTGTACTGCCTAGGAATGGGCGGTTATTGAAAAATAACCGGTTATCGGTTAACCGGTTATTTTTCTTAATCGGTTAAACCTGAATCGGTTGACCTCTACCTAAAAACCGGTTATTGAAATAACCGGCCCTTATAAATTTTTGTGAGACTTTATTAAAGAAAACAATGATGTAACATTTAGAGGCAACAATTATCACAAACATGTTTTGTTTCATTTACAAATAATAAGTTACTAAATAAAAGTTAAAATATAAAAATGCAATAAAAGTGCTATCTATAAAGGGTGTCCCATAGCACATGATCAAAAAGATACTGCGATATTCTTTGACTCAAAAGAAGACGATTTGACCTAACTTTCATTAAGAAAAAATGTCTGGCTTCTCCGCTACTGACTGTCAAAGTTCTTGAAAAAAAAATGTTTTTTGTAATATCTGGAGAATGTTACGATGGATTTTAATTAAACTTGCTGTGGACTTGTTCCTAAGTAAAACTCATGTTTTGATGAAGCAACCGCGTCCGTAAATTCTTGAGTGTCTTGGTACAAGAATTACCCAACTTTTTATTTGGTCGCTGGAATTAATTCATTTTATTTTTATTGAGGCATCAGTCCTTTTTCGAGATTTTCGTGCTCTTGGTAAAATCTTGTAGCATTCATATTTTTTACGCAAAAAAATTGTTTTTCAATTTTAGGCAATCATTATCACTACTACTCAAGTACAACAACTACTCACTACTACTACTACTACTACTACTACTACTACTACTACTACTACTATCGTAGTAAGCGATGATGTCATTTCATCCCTACTAATATTATAAATGTGAATGTAAGTTTGTTACGCTTTCACGCGAAAACTACTTAACCGATCATCATGAAACTTTGTACACATATTCTTGGAGGTATTAGAAGTAACATAGGATACTTTTTATTAAAAAAAAATATTTTTTACGAAAGATTCTCTATATTTATTGTTTCAGGTTAGGTGTCATTTTTGTGGTTAATTCGTGATTTTAATTCTTACTCTGTTCTTCTTTAAAAATGCCTCGGAAGCGGAAATCTGGTCTATCCAAAAAAATTAATGGCTTCAATGCGAGCGAAGCCGCGGGTAAAAGCTAGTAATAAATAAATTGTCAATCAATTCGTTTCGAATGGCGTTTTCTAATGAAGAGATGACGACTGATCAAAGTCTTAAGCTTTTGCGAAAACAACTTGGTGCGACGCCCTGTATATATCTCTAATAAATAAAAGTGGTCTAGTTTATCTCTGTATTTCTTTAATAGAAAAAATTATGTAGTCATGTATCAGATTTTAATTTTAATCTTAATTTGATTTAAATTTTAATTTAAATAGAATGTCCGGTCGACGATGGCTTAAGTCTGATCTACTATCAAGTTTAGGGTTAGAGCACAATATACTTTAATCGTATACTGTACTGTGAGATAGAGCTTAAATTTTCACTCGGTCTTGGTAAAATAACCGGCACGGGGTTTTTGACCATAAGTAAACGGTTATCAGGTTAAACCGAACTCGGGAAATAACCGGTTTATTGACCGGTTAACCAACACACAATAATCGGCTATTCATTTAACCGGTATCTTTAATATATTTGTTCCAGATTTATCTAAATTATTTATTTATTTATTTATTTATTTATTTATTAGGTATTCTTTTAGCGAAAAGTAGAAATTTATTAAATAATTAGCAGAATACTTCCATAGAGAATTGGTCGCCCATATAAAAATTTGTTTCCTCAAAATTAGAGTAAATTTTAAATGTTGTAAATTGTAAATGTACCTCATTTCATTCAAATATGAAAGTAGTTGTAACATGGCTAGGTAATAAGAAGCTTCATTTTTAGTTTCAGTTTACAGTTTACAATACAGTGTATCGTATCTTCACACGTACTATTATTATATTAATTGAATTATGATTAATATGAATCTGAAAATGAGAGAGCAAGCATTTAAAGCTTATTGGAGAAGATAGGGGGCAGCATGCCATACCTCAACTTGACAATGCCAAAGTAAAAGCACGAGAATAAGTAACAATTGTTACCTACTTATTCTTGTGGTAAAATACACCTACTTAAGTTAGGTCAATATTTAATCGTTCAGCGGTCAAAATCGTATGTCGTTGCTTAACAACACAAATTGCAGAACTATTTTTAACTATACAGGGTCGGAAAGTACCGATGGTCCATCTGCCGTTACGTGAGAGCGATAAAGTAAGACATAGAAATCCATGTGATAGAGAAGGATGGCTATAATGAAGGCGTTTCATAGTCACCGCCCGTTTCGCCCTTCCACAAATAAGATCCACTTCTTATTCCGAACCTGTATATTAAAACTGTAATCTAGTTTGGTTTCTTTCTTTTGTTTAACTGTAAATGCAATTATTAAAGAGAAATTCGAAAGCAGTTTTAAATACCTATATTCCAGAACAATAAAGGTCTCTTACTATTTTAATAAATAAGAAAAAGTAATGTAACAAATGAAGGGCACAGGGGAAAAAGATGAATGTCACAAAATACAAGTCTGGAGTAAAATGAAATTTAACTTTCAAAGACTGATATTTTAAAAAATATTATACATCTTTTAGTTATTTTTTGAAATAAAATTATATGTATCTACGAATATGTAATATGTAATATTGTAGATTTGAGCCAGCAGAAACTTAAAAAAAAATAACAATAATTAATACGTGCTATCAAAAAAATGTGAGAAAAAAGATTAATGTCACATCACTCAGGGAGAAAGAATCAGAAAACAATTCGAGTAGCAATGTGAATTTTAAGAGGTAACATTTTATTATAAGTAAAAAGGAAACCTACTTGAATAAAAATACAACGAAAAATAAAAGAAGTGTCATTTACATTATGCTTCAACGCCACAGTTTAAGTTGCTGTCTTGTCGTATGGTAAATCTTCAAAATAATGTTGCTCTAGCTACTACAAATTTTTTCAGTTCTTATAAGTTCTGGTATTTTTTCAGAGCAATCGCAATGGGTTGTTTGTATTTCATAGACATAGGTCCATTATATTATGTCTCTCGATACTGCATCATTCTTGACATTTCCTTTTAATTTCTTTGACAGGCCTACTTTCAAATGGACGTTTTTTAACAAAGTAATTTGATAAATGGTCATTCCAAGCTCGGAAAATTTTCTAATTCTCGCAATTAATGACTACGATTGGATTGGACTTGTTCCTTGCATTTTGGATCTCTGCATTCTATTCTGATGGCCTTGTCCCGTTTGTATAGGCGTTTGATCGACAAACTAAATCTAACAGGAGCAACATCAGAACACGTGCTAGTTACAAGTTGGAAATTCATCTGTTTTTCACACACTGGCGGGACATTCATCTTTCTTTCCCTGTAAGGCAAATTTTAAGTACGCTGTATCTTTCAACCCTCATTTCTTTTTGCCAGTATGATTGTTTTCACGAAAGCAGTGGCCACTAGGGCATCGTTATATGTATTTATTTACAAATGGCAAATATTGGACATTCATCTTTTTTTCCCTGTACCCTTCAAATGTATTTAGAAACTAAATATAGCTAGAATTCAAAATACTGCAATAATGTTACTAGGATTTTTTTTTTAGTTATATGTATATTGTATATGTGTGTACTTGGTATTATTTTTATAGCATGAAACATTTTTTTTCTAATTCATTAAATAAAAAATTCTCCTGCGCCTAGCGACTTCTGACTTTAGCTTGGGGTCGGCTTACCGTACCTATCCCACTCCATTTCGGTCGTCGCAGTCTAATAAGACGTCGCATTTTTTAAAAGCACAATTGTATTGTTGGTCACATACTAGTTTAATGTTACGATAAATTTAAAGTATGAGCAGATAAATTGGGAAATTTGGACTTTCATTTAATTTTTTGAATAAATCTTATAACTTCATTTAACGTCAAGGACGGCTGACTCAAAACATGCATTTATCAACTTTATATGTAGATTGTAGACATGAAAATTAAAACATTTTCTGCCTGGGTTTAAAACTGACAAAATATTTTCTTTATCATTTGTTCACTTACCTGTAGGGCTGCATGTCTTTTGGATCCATATGAAAAGTACAGTAACTTGAATTATCAGACGTTGGGAGATTTTTGTAGATAACTTTTTGTAATATATCTGGTTTGTCAGGTGGAGTCACCACAACCTAACATGTAGAGATACTTTTTATTAATATTTAATTGTCTAAATATTATCCACAAAATTGAAACAGAATAGTATTTCTAAAAAAGTACTTACGTTTATAACATCGCTTGGTTTCTGATCTACAGGCACATCTAAGTTTAAAAGCGATTCTGAAGTTAACACAACTTTACTTTTTCCATTCCTTAAGTATATACCACTTCCTCCATAACCTTCACTGGAATCTGCATATCCAGCAGCCAATAAATTAACCTTATTTCTTACTGCAAATCCCTGCTGTAAACTGACACCTGAAAATAAAGAGGTCCAAATTTTTTTTGGACTTTACTGCATTGAAGAATTAACTCACCAAAGGGCAAAGGCAATTCATTTTGTAATGAGGAGGTTAATACTGCATCGTGTATTTTTTCGAATTTATCTGAAGTTTCTACCAACAGATCAGTATCAAATAATATAGCAAATGTAACATTAACATTTATTCTACGGAAGTATGCTTCAAAAGTACAATCCTGATTGGGGTTTCCTTTACTATAAAATTGTTCTTTATAAAGGTATTTCTTCCTGCATCTAAAATTAAGTAGAAAATTTAGTTTATTATGTCCTACATGAGACAGATATGCTCTTTATCGAACATAGAAATTAACATTTTGCATCATAATGAAGGGCTTTTTAAAGAAAAATTATACAAAATATTCCACTTTTTGTTTATACACTTTACATGCCAAAGTGTGTTCGGTTGAATAACAGCTGGTTTGAAAAAAATTCCACCGAACTTATTCTATTAAAGCCACAATTTGAATACAAAAACTCATAATGTAGTTGCTTAATCTCTCACAAGACGCAGGCAAAAACAATTTGCCAAACGCGTCAATTGTGTAGTTTTGTGTTAGTAAACCTAACCCTCAAGTTTCAGGAGTTCAGCATTGGAATTGTACCTTTTTAGACCCTGTTTTAATTCCTGGAGGGCACTGTTTTATATTTACAATTGATTCTAATATTTGTAAATCTACAATTATTCAATTTCAATGCCAGATAGTTTCAAATTAGGTCGCAGTTATCCCCTTGGAAAAGTTTGCATTCATAAAAGAAATGAAAACATAAAAGAAATAAAACAAACGCAGATAGGTACAGTGTGCATCACAAATGAAGGTATCTGTTCTACTATACGTATATACATACAAATAATTTATGAATTGATGAATGTTTGTAAACATTTTTTAAGTAATTCTACACATTTTAAATAAAATAATTATTTCTTTATGTTCTACTATATTTACTTGTTACATCAATATAAATAAACAATACATAATCATTGTCAGTAATGTGAACATTTCAAAATGCAAAGTGTCGACTCTTCAAATTTTGATCATATAGGCAACCAGTAATTTACTCATTTTTTATTACAACACTACGCTCTACGTCACTGATCCATCCTCAAGTCCAAGGATATTGATACATATCTTTGACTCAAGTTTACTTATCATATACATTGAATAATAGGCTCAATGTGGAAGAATTTATAAAATTTTGGGCGCCAATAAGGAAATTGAAACTTCAGGTATCTAGTTTTCAGAACTGCAGTTTAAAATATTTTAACGTCAGCAGTGTTTGAGTAATCATAAGAAAATATCGGAAAAAAATTGTAAATTTTTGCTTTTTTTAAAAAAGATCTATGGACTTAAAAAAAATTTTTTGGTAATTTCATCATAAAGCTTTTTTAGTTAATTTAATCCTCTTCAATTTGAGCGGTTCCGGAGCCTTGTCAGTAGCGTAGCTACAGTTGCGCAATGTTGCGCAATACGCACTAAAATGCGGGCTAAAAGATTTTTTGGTTGTGCAGTTTAAAATTATTTCTAGGTATAATTCTATATTGAAAATGTATTGTGTTTGTTTGTTTTATACGCAGAAATGAAATAGACAGAATAGTTGCGCGGAAACCGCCTTCTAAAAAAAAGATTGCCTTCGTTGAGCGGCAATATCAACCTCGTACAACGTATAGCATAAGCAAGTGACGCGAATCTAAATCAGTTTGTATTTCGCTTCACTTCGTAGCGTTGTTTACGGCGGTTTTCATGGCAACGAGGCGGCCAACATGTGAGTAAACTACAACGTGGGGGAACGCGGAAATTGAAGCAACATCGCCATCACCCATCGCCTGCCTTTACTTTAAACAGTTTATACGATAAGTCGCCCAGTGCACGATTATAATAGTTCATTGTTAATATTACTTTTGTATCAATAATTGTAAAAATGTTTTGTATGTATGATCCAGTATGTATTTTATTGGAAACGCCATTTTTCAGATGGAAAATTGAGGACAAAAAGGATTTTTTTAAATTGCTAGAGAGCTGTGCCTTCTCTCGATGTTGAAAAAAGGGGGAAGTCAAAAGACAAAGTGTACGTTCGGGAGTTTCGGAATGAATGGTATTCGGAGTGTAAGTGGTTGTGTGGAAGCGTTTATTTAAAAGAACTTTTCTGTATGCCGTGTTTAATTGTGTTTCTATTTTTTATAAAATCTAAATGAAAATCCTTCTCGCGAACGTCAGTTTTTCGGTAATATTGCAAATGCAACTAAAAATTTCCAAATTCTGTTAAAGCCGTTTGACCTTGAAAATTTAAAAATTTTCGCCTTTTTTTGTTTTCTTTTTAACCATTCAATTAATATACTTCACCTATTCTCAATGTCACGAGCCGCCACTGGTAGAGTTTTGGCAATAGAGAAACCAAAAGCCTCAAAAATTAATATTCAAAAACTAGTTAAAACGTTTCTATTATTAAGACCCGGAAAGTGCAATTTTAATAATTGATCTGTGATTAGAATAAAGTTTTGTTTAAGTTAACAATAATTTCTCACACCGTATCATCTTTTGGTAAGGTACCATGGAATTGCCACAACTGATAGAATGTCAAATCATAGTCAAATTTGTATTTTCTTGTTCTAAATAGTAAATATTAAACTAACGCAAACATAACATTTGGTTATTTTGCGTATCTTACTTTTGCTTTTGACTTTAAAAGAACAATTATTTTGATTTTCACTGTGATGGAGTTTTATTTGTATTTGTGATAGAATGGAGTTTCACCTTTATTTATATGGTTTTTATTTTTTATTGTTTTTTATTTTTATCGAAATATAGTTATTACAGTACGTACACACATGGACGGTTAGTTGTAATTTATTGGAATTTCTGGGAGGGGCCTTTTATATACTTTGCGCACGGACCCAGAGAGCCCTTGCTATGCCACTGAGCCTTGTACGACTTTATCGCTGTTATCGTCGATCAAATAAAAAATAATAATTTTTGACTTTGGTGATCAACTACTCGGGAAATAATGGTCATACAGAAAATCCAAGCAGGGTTTTGGAAACTACAGAGTATTCTCTACAAGTCGTAATCATGGGTTTTTGATAAAAAAAAAATTCCAAAGTGAAAATGTTGGTTAGAAAAAAGGTAAAAAATTCCATAATTAGGGATATTTCAATAACTTGGCATAACTTTGCAAATAATGAATAAAATAAGGATATCGACTGTAACTTTTCAACATCAAAGTGTCCTAAAGAAACCCTGATAATTTCAAAACGCTGCGATTTTTTTTCCTAGTGCCCGTAATGTTTAAATTTGTCGTTTTTCTGAAAATCAATGTAATAAGTAATTTTTCGCTTTTTATTCATTTTTTTAAGTTAAAAATGTTGTTTTAGCAATAATCCATATTTTCTTCATAAAAAAATCGTTCATGATTCCGGGCACAAGGAAAACAAAATAGCAGCATTTTGAAATTATCAGGGTTTTTTCAAATTGAAGAGAATTAAATTATCTAAAAGAACTTTATGATGATTTTACAAAAAAAAAATCTGAGGTCCTAGGCCTTTTAAAATAAAAGCAAATATCTATAAAAAAATTTTTCCGTTGATTTTCTTATGATTACTCAAAAACTGTTGACGCTAAAAAAATGTATACTGCAGATCTGAAAACTAGACACCTGAAGCTTCAATTTCCTTTTTTTTATTCTCTCTATGACCATTTCCCTCCAAGTTACAGCTCTTTGAAAATCATCCAAAATTTTCTTAATATCCCTTAATTTCTGTGCCTAGTATATTTAAGAACAACCAACACGTGTTTCGTAAAATAGATACCTACACTAATGTGCTTAACTAACAAAAAACGATATAAAAGAATATTCCTAAATTTAAATATAGTGAAAATTTAACATTAGCCGTGTTGCCTAATGCTCATGCTCGGAAAGTATAGCCTCATACGCAGGTGAGATCTTGATATGTCATCGCTGTCATCATTAACGTATTTTCTCTTATTTTGTTTAATCTTGGAATTTTCTAGTTCTATTAAGTATTTTTATTGTTTATCTTGATGTTGTACTGTGTCAGTGTGTTTATCGAGTGTTTTTTTCTTCAAGTGGTTTATTATAGACGTACTCATAACCAAAACCAAACCTTTCTTGATAGTCCAGTCATTATAGACATGAAACAGCTTGTTTCGGGAAAAACATACTATTAGAAGTTTCTCTCCGGAAGATTGTTCGGAAACGTGTTATAAACAAAATATAAAAAAATCAACTCGAGGCTAGTTGGGAAACTTTGTTTAAACAATGGGCAAAGTTATGGAAAAGTGTTTTTTTGACTCGCGTAAAAAAACTATTATTCATAGCGAAAAAAAGTTTATACAAAAAAGGTAGGTATTAAATAAGCCTACAAAATTCCGATTAAATTCCAATAATTTGTTTATGCGCAAGAGCTGAAAAATGGTCGAAAATGGCCGTTTTTTTCAATTGCTAATAATTTATGCAATTTGTATCGTAGACACTTTGTAATTCAGGATTTTTGAGGCTTTTTACACCCTTAATAATAGGTAAAAATTTCAACCCGAAAGCTTCAATGGTTTGGCGTTGGCGGAATTTGTTATCTAAGAAGATGCTATTTTCAATTCATTTTTTCCAAGCTCAGAGGCGTTATATAGTTTCTATCATTAGTTGTTTTTGTACCTAAATAGTGTTAAAACACAGTTTTTCAGAAATATAATTTTAATAGATTTTAGAATAAAAACAACGATCAAAATTAGATATTTCAACACCACCTCGTCTCTAGTCGTTCTCTCTCTCTGTCCCCGTGCTCGTCCCCGGCCCGGCCGGCACCCCACCCGTATCATGGCCGCCAAAAGTTTATAAACAATTTTGCAAAGCCTAAACTATCTTCACAATAGTTATATTAACATATGCATTTACCGAGAATTTAATTTTTCAAATTTAATTTGTTTAAAAATTACTTTGAAAAAATGTTAATATTTATTAAATTGTTAAGATAGGTAATTATTATAAAATGAAATAGTAACCTCTATAGTTTAGTTAGTACTATTTTTCTTCGAATTAAAAAAAAAACGTTGATCTAAGTTGATTAGAAGCTGAGATAATTTTTTTTGTATTTAATCGCAGTGACCTTAATTATTATTAATATTAAGAGCCGAAATTTGGCGAGAATATACATTAAGAGCTATATTTTCATGTCCTACATTAACATTAAGGTGAATTCAATTATTTAATTGCAAAAAAGAAGATAGCGGTGATGCGTTCTATACCTGGTCTAGCGAACGCGTGGGGAGAGCGAGGCGGAGTATGCGGGCTACGCGCCTGGTAGCGCGCAGGAAAATGATCGAGCGGCTTCAAATCGATGAAGCTGGAAAAATTAGCCACATCTCGGTTAATAATGAACCTATTGAGATGATTATTTTTTTAATTTGTGGTAGCGCGAAAATTCATGAGCATTGAAGCTATGGTATTAACATTATTTCAACCCGAGATTAAATTTTTTATTTAGCCTCGCTCCTCCCACTCGTTCGCTAGACCGAGTAATAGAAAGCATCGCCGCTATCTTATTTTTTGCAATTAAACAGTTGAATTCACCTTAATGTTAATGTAAGACATGAAAATATAGCTCTTAATGTATACTCTCTCCAAATTTCGGCTCTTAAAAATTAAGGGCACTGCGAGTAAATAAAAAAAAAAATTGTCAGCTTCTAATCAACTTAGAACAACGATTTTTTTTTAAATTCGAAGAAAAATAGTACTAACTAAGCTATAGACATTAGTATTTCGTTTTATAATTCCCTATCTTAACAATTTAATAAATATTAACATTTTTTCATTTCATTTTTGAACAAATTAAATTTAAAAAATTAAATTCTCAGTAAATGCATATGTCAATACAACTATTTAGATACAAAAACAACTAATGATCGAAACTCTACAACCCTTTTGAGCTTGGGAAAAATCAATTGAAAATAGCATCTTTTTAGATAACAAATTCCGCCAACATCAAACTAATGAAGCTTTCGGGCTGAAATTTTTACCACTTATCAAGGGTGCAAGAAGACTCAAAAATCCTGAATTATAAGTGTCGACGACTGCGATGAAAATTGCATTAATTATTAGCAATTGAAGAAAACGGCCATTTTTGACCATTTTTGAGCTCATGCGCATAAACAAATTATGGGAATTTAATCGGACTTCTTATTTTACAGATTTATTTAATACCTACCTTTTTTGTATAAACCTTTTTTCTCTATGAATAACAGTTTTTTTACGCGAGTCAAAAAACCACTTTTCCATAACTTTGACCATTGTTTTAACAAACTTCGCTTACATGAAATTATCTTTAATGCATGCTCAGTAACATTGATATAATTTTAATTTATTAATTACTATAAAAGTCAATAAATTTAAATATATAAATTCTATAATTCTATTAGTTTGTCACTTGGGGTCTGAAACTTCTTTAATATTTCTAATATTGCCAGAATTTCGCGATATTTAAGGTACTGACAAAGAAGCCATTTTTTTGGCACTTATGTCCCAAGTACAGGTCGAAAATCGATCTAGTAAAATATTGAGAAATTCTTCATGACAATGTGAACTACGGGGTTGCCTATTATTTGGCATATGTGACGTCACTACTAAAAAGGTTTACTCACAATAAAATTGTCAACAAAAATCATAATTTACTTACGTTGCAATTTGTTTTCCCTCTGGATCAAAAACTAAATCCGTGCTATAAAGTTCTTCTTTTGATGCATTGTGAAATTCCAATACGTTTATGACGACATACATCTTATTCGACTTTGCCGCGGAACTTATATTAGGTAATACATCCTAAAATGAACAAAAATTAAATAATTCCTTAGTCAATACCACTTCTACTTTAGAAAGAATCACGGAATAATTCAATGTGCATGAAGAATGTCCTACATATATTATATAATATGTACCTACTTCGTTAAAATTTGTCTTTGTTCCAGGTTGTAGCACGATACTGAAAGGTATATTATGAGATATTGTGTCACCAACAGGTGTTGTAGAAGTTATGCCATTTTCAGGAAATACTATTATGTCTGCCTAAAAACACAGATAGATTACAAACCGACTAAGCAATGCATCAATATAAAAATATTAATATCTTCAATTCAAAAAATGTTTTCTGAAGAAAATATGAATATATCTTGCTAATTAAATATCATGAACTTATTTCTATTAAAAACTGAAAACATATTTGAATTTCTCATCAACATACTTCGTACAACGTCACCAATATTAATGATTTACAACGACTAATGGCAAACCGTTACATCTACACTCGAGATAATGCGATCGCCGATTGGTTGAATAAAATCTGAAGAAATATTACACCAATCACAGCCGGTGAGACAGAATGTTATGTTTTAATGTAATGTTAACGTTAACGTGTTAATAATTTTACCGAAATTTAATTGCCAACATAAAGGTCATGTGCCTTGTAATTATTTAAGAAGGCTCTATAGATATTATTAAGTATTAATATAATACGGCTTTCAATTTAAAAATAAACCGTAACTTTTACTAAATGAAAATCCTATCAGAATTTAATTAAATAATTTCATCACAACGTAATCAACTTCCAGGTAATATTGTACTTACATCATCTTTCAATTGCGTTATGGTAGAAACATACTGTCTTGTATTATCATTTACTACAACAGTTGGAATCTGTTCTTCTTTCTGTGCATATGGTACCACAACTGCCCTGTAACTCTAAAATTCAGTTTAGTAGTAACTATAAAAAATATAAATACAGGGGTTATGTTAACAATATGCCCATGTCTAAGTACGAGTTCCATTAAGGTTTAATCTAAACGTATCTTAATAAGTAATGTCACTTGATAAAAAAATCTAAACTAATGGTATTTTAAAAATATCTCTTTGGAAACTTATATTATAGTCCTGTAGCCAGGGGGGTCCCAATTGCCTCCTTCATTTAGATTTAGATTGAGATTTTTTAGATTATATTTTACAGTAGAATATTAAAGTTTGTTAGTGCAAAAATAAATCGATCTGTATTTCTAATAACACACCTCCATCATAGTCATATCTAATCCCTGATATTAATAATGTCATAATGATATGATAGATACATACTACGGGGTAGGGGCGGCCAATTTTTCTATGCACCAGGGCGCCAAGTACCCCAGGAATGGCCGCCCCGCCGTTTAGCCACAATAGTTGTTTACACCATATAGTCCTGTAGTGTAGCCAGGGGGGTCCCAATTGCCTCCTTCATTTAGATGGAGTTACCCAAGTGTTTTTTGTGTATTTTGAGCTGCAGAACACGAATTTTTTGGGTAGAAGTTTGCCCGGATGTCGATAAATTTTTTATTAGCAAAAAACTTTATTTTTTTGTTAAACGCATAGATTTCGAGATAAATGTCGTTAAAAACTCGAAAAATGCGATTTTTGCGATTTTCAATCGTTAATAACGTTTTATTGAATAGGTATTTTGTAATTCTGCTGACGGCGTTTGAAAGTTCACGTTAAATACTACAAATTATGAGTAATTGCAGTGTGAAAATTTGTTTTTTCCACTGTTATTTGAAGCTATAAACAAATAGCGATTGAGCGTTCAGAAGGGTGCGCCGCCATGTATGTAAGAGCGGTTGCCTTCTTACAGGCGTTTAATAAACGATCTTAACGCGTACTCTTCATTTAATTATTTAATTTATTAAAAATTTAATGAAAATTTGCAATATTACAATAATTAAACTTATTATACAAATTTAAATAATAATAATTATAAAAACACCTAAATTATACGATGTTACGCTTTTAATATAAGTAAGTAAAAACTTTTTTATTATCGTTTATAAATAAAACTAATATAATTTCGCTTTTTTTCATATAAATCGTATAATAATGTTTACAAAGCAAATTAGAATTAACCAAACATTATATCTTTGATATTTCAAACTTTTCGCGCCTTTTTAATGAATTTTGTTTTAAACGATTGCCATTTATTTTTAAAACTTGTTTGTAGTAGCGCTGCAAAATTGCACTGAAGATGTAGAATTATTAACGTTCATGTTATAAGCTGAATAATGAATAGCTTAATTAAATCAGATCTTTGCATTATTTGTCAAAAAAATAAAAACCTGAAAGTTACTAGTACAGATAGCGGTAGAAATAAAATTATTCAGTCAGCAAATGTTCGTAAAGATGTGTATAATAGACTGCAAATCAAGATCGTGTATTAAACGCCTGTAAGAAGGCAACCGCTCTCTTACATACATGACGGCGCACCCTTCTGAACGCTCAATCGCTATTTGTTTATAACTTCAAATAACAGTGGAAAAACAAATTTTCACACTGCAATTACTCATAATTTGTAGTATTTAACGTGAACTTTCAAACGCCGTCAGCAGAATTACAAAATACCTATTCAATCAAAAGTTATTAACGATTGAAAATTGCAAAAATCGTATTTTTCGAGTTTTTAACGGCATTTATCTCGAAAAATATGCGTTTAACACAAAAGTTGCAAGAGACATTTTCTTCTTAAAATGAGTCAAAGAACAAGGAAATACTTTATTTTGCCAAAAACTAAGTTTTCAAAAACTTATCGACATCCGCGCAAACTTCTACCCAAAAAATTCGTATTCTGCAGCTCAAAATACACAAAAAACACTTGGGTAACTCCATCTAAATAAAGGAGGCAATTGGGATACCTCTGGCTATAGGTACTTTCTTCTCTTATAGAGGCTGTCATTTTTGGTCCGATTTTTAAAGACAAAAGATTAATATTAATGGCTTTATTTGTGGTACAGTTTTATTTTTTATTTTCCTGTGAGATTTTTGGTTAAATGAAAAACTATTTTCATCAAAATTACTTCACTAATTTTTTTTTTAATTTTTTCATGGCTTCGAAAATACAGGCATTTACCACCAATTTTTTTTTTCAACGCCCACCTAAATGACAAACGATTTCATTTTGTTAATCCAATGGTTGATTGTTATCTCAATTTTTACCCAAAACTTACGAGAAAAATATCCAAAATGCCTGTTAATATTTCAGTTCCATTTGAAAAAATAGTCGACAATAGCCTACCATTAAGGTAGGCCTTGGAAAATTACGTACTTATATTAATTTGTAATATTTTTTGAGCCATTAACGTCAATCTTTTTATTTAAAAAATTGGAGTTATAATATGCGGCGTGTTTTTACAATACAGGCTGTTACAAATTCGCTTCTCACTACAGGGATCTCGGAAACGGTAAGAGGTACGAAGTAGCTTAAATGGGGGCCAAGTTGCATAATCAGGGGACCAACATTATGCCTCTAAAAAATCAAGGCTAACATGATTAGTTTTCGAAATATTTGAAAAAAACCGAAATTTTGGAAATCCGTTTTTATTTCATAAAAGCTTTGTTTGAGATGATATTGAAAAAAGAAGAACACTTTCCCATGGCCACTTTTTGCTCTCTATCGAATGGCATAATCAATTTTTATATGTAACGTTTCGCCTCTCCAGGTCCATCATCAACTTCATTTGTTTAAATACGACCCTAGAAATTTTATTACATTCTTTGCAAGCCGTCATGACTCCCAATACTGTACTGCCTCAGCCCGAACCAGATTCAGACGTTTTGTTTCAAAAAATTCATCTTCAGTGTATTCATTCCAAATTTATCTAAATTTTTTATTTTTATTGAATTATAGGACACTGTAAATATCGTTGGACCCTGTGAAATCCAACTAGTTATTTAAACTATTACATTATAAGATCAGGGTATTATCTAAATTTATTATACCTATCTGTAACCGCAACTGTGAAAGAGCATGTCAGATGTATTTGTATGAATATCCTGAAAAAAATAGATCGGAATTTGTTTGAATTTTGACCACTCGAGATAACCTAGAAATAACTATGGACACGGGACTAAAACTCTAAAATGCTTTATTTTAATGCGTGTTGGTAACAGTTTAAATAACTTGATAGATTTCACAGGTTCTAACAACACTTACAGTGTACGATAATTCAATAAACAAAGAAATCTAAATAAAACATTTAGATAAATTTGGAACGAATACACTGAAGATGAATTTTTCGGGACAAAACGTCTGAATCTGGTTCGGGCTGAAGCAGTACAGTATTGGAGGTCATGAAGGCTTCCAAAAAATGTAAAAAAATTTCAGGGTCGTATTTAAAAAAATTAAGTTGATGATGGTCCTGGAGAGACGAAACGTTGTATATAAAAATTGATCATGCCATTCGATAGAGGGCAAAAAGTGGCCTTGAGAAAGTATTCTTCTTTTTTCAATATCACATCAAACAAGGCTGAAATGAAACAAAAACGGATTTCCAAAATTTCGGTTTTTTCAAATATTTCAAAAACTAATAATGTTAGCTTCGATTTTTTAGAGGCATAATGTTGGACCTCTGATTACGCAACTTTGTACCCATTTAAGCTAGTTTGTATCTGTTACCGTTTTCGAGATCCCTGTAGTGAGAAGCGAATTTGTAATAGTCTGTATATCCAGTACTACTACTGCACTATTTTCTAATAAGAATGTCACTTTTGACCAGTTTTTTCTTTTTTTTATTACGTACCTGAGCATTAGATTCCTCTAGCTTCCCAAACAATAATAAACCTAAGGAGACAGAACAGAAATTTAATTAATTTGAAAAATTGTACCACGTAGAGTAATTCTGAGATGCGTGCATTGTGATCTCAGCAACTAAAAGAAAGAGAAAAACATTTAAGCAAATAATTCAATCATTAACTTAATGGCTCTATTTTCGAGATATTTTGAAAAAAAGCAAATCTTGCATTTTCGAAAATTTTACTACTTATAACTTTTTTATTTTTAAGAATTTGCAGAATCATTACCATATGAAATTTTTATTAAAAAAAAATTAGTCAGACGGTATATCTTTATTTCAGCTATCCAACGAGGCGAGAAAGTACAAAAAAACAATAACGAACCGAAAAACTTATAAATATAATTTTTTTATTATTATATTGTTATAAATTTGACAACTTAGATAGAACTGTATACCGAACGGAAATTATTGTTTAACTTTCCAGAAACGCAAAAATACGCCGAAAAAAACATATGTACCTAAATGTTTTTTTTTTCGATAAATTTGGCAACATTGTTACGTGAAAAAATCCGCAAAAAGAGACTAGAGTTGTGGCGAGATAGCTCATGGTTCTTGCACCATGACAATGCGCTCGGACTCTCAGCTTTGTCAATTCGTCAATTCTGTGTCAAAATCAGATTACTGTCCTCTCTCACCCTCCTTTCGCCAGACCTGGCTCCTTGTGATTTTTTCTTATTTCCGAAATTAAAATCAGTGGCGAAAGAACTTTTGAGACTATTGAGTATTGATGCCATCAAAGTAACTTCGTCACATAATTTAAAGGCCATTTCAAATGAAGAACTTCTTTGCGAAATGGAAAACACCGTTGGAAAAAGTGTGAATACGGGAGGAGAGTACTTTGAACGAGACAAGGACCAATAATGTATAAAATTAATAATAAAGTTTAAAAAAATAAAGTTTAGTTATTTACTGACCAGACCTCGTATATCCCTGAGTAAGTAAAACACAACAACACAAAAATCAATATGGCACCTCTAAGAAGAAATTAATTATTATATTTTCTCTACGCATTTGCTTTTTTTGAAAATGTTCAAAACCGGAAAAAGCAAGAACCATTAAACTAATAATAGAATGATCTCCCATTTACCAGTTTTTCTATCTCATATAGTTTTGGAGATTCCAGTACATACATCACCACTGGAGCGTCTACCGTATATACAATTTAAAAATATATATAATGGTGATGAAGAACCTTAAGATTGCAAAAAAGTAAAATTATATTTACCTAAGAAAAGAAATCCGAGTTGCTTCAAACATGTCATTTTCAACTTTAATCGTCCCCTGAAAAATAAATTGCTATATTAAAAAGGGTCCAAACATAAATTCGATAAAATAAAAAACCTAGTTTTATGCATAGTTCCATCCGAATAGATATTCAAGAAATTTCAAGCTAATGGGTACCTACCATATTTGTAAAAATTGTTTGCAATTATAATACATGTTTTATTCATGTATTTATATTTAAAAAGCTATTTTTATTTCTGGTGGTAGGTAATTTATCAACTGCTTTCCAGATATTGTCGGGATCTCTTTGGACCTAATTCATAATTTCATTGTTTTAAGATGTTTTTAAGGATAAAATATTTGCACATAAATTTATTTTTTTATAGAGTAATAAATGTAATTTTTCTTTACGAAAATTTGAGAAAAAAATTGCAAAATCGCCATATTGTCTCACATAAAAAATATTTATTTTTTCTTACAATATTAAATTGTGGAAAAATATTACATTACAAATTCAATAAATAGATGATAAAATTTGTTATAAAATTGTTTTTGAAATACATATTTATTTAAATATTTAATTTATTTAAATATTTATGCTTACTACAAGGTGGTCAATTAGTTGTCAAATTAGCTGTTGTTTTTCGAGATAAAAGAAAATGTTCTAATAAAAGTTGGAGACTTACCAAATTTGGTAAAAACTTTTTTCAAATATTTCTCCTAGTTCTGTATGCACACAGTCCAAATTCAAAAACCGGTGGCGGAGAAACAATGATATCGTTTCCTTATTTAAAATAAAACTTTTAAGCCACTGAATTAATTGGTAATATGAATACATTTTACAACGGTCTGTCACATTCCGGATGAAAAAACACTCTTTTATTTTTGTCGAAAAGTGAATGGTTTAAGAGTTATGGGACATATTATGATGCGGTTTTCCAGATATTTAAAAAAATTATTTTATTTTTGTTAATTTCAACGCCCTGTATCTCATAAACGGTAGTTTTCTGCGTCTATGTCCATATAGCAAAGTGATGTTAATTTTTGTCATTAAAAACTTTCCCGAAGTTTGTCTATTAAAATCTGGACCACCCAAATTTGTTTTATTTTTCCCGATTTCAACGCTTTGTTTACTTGAATAATAAGTCACATAACTCGTAAACCATTCACTTTTCGATAAAAATAAAAGAATGTTTTTTCATTCGGAATGTGTCAGACTATTATAAAATGTATTCATATTACCAATAAATTCAGTGGCGTAGAAGTTTTACTTAAAATAAGTAAACGACATCCTTGTTTCTCCGCCACTGGTTTTTGAATTCGGACTATGCGCATACAAATCTAGGGAAAATGTTTGAAAAAAAATGTGTACCAAATCTGGATAAATTTGATAAAGCCGTTTTCCAGATATTTAAAAAAATTGTTTTATTTTTGTTAATTTCAACGCCCTGTGGTGGCTTTTTACACCTATGTTCATAAAGCAAAGTGATGTTAATTTTTGTTGTTTAGTAGTTTCCCGAAGTTTGTCTATTAAAATTTGGACCACCCTGTATATACTGTTATGAGATATTTACTTGTTATATACAGTTATTGCCAATTTTCTCCAATACAAGGCACATTATTGCTAGAGTAAATTTCTATCTTTTGAAATGCTCTCAAAAAAGTATATTATCTCTTAATTTTTTTTTATATAAAAAATCCTCAATTATCCCCTGCATCTCCAAAAATGCCCTACTATGTGGAAAAATATCCCATTAAATTGTTGCACTCTACAGACCACGTTGTTAAGAGGAATATTTAATTGTTTTAAAAAATAAAATAATGTTTTAAAACCTGTAATTTTAAGAACCTTAATATATGTACCTTTATACGTACTATAATTTTAGTTTTTTTTATTTTTAACTACCCAATAATAGTTTGTATTGAAATTGAGAAATATGCTAGGTACAAAATATTTTTTGATATTTCGTTATGACAACTTTGAAAAAAGGTAAGATGGAAGGAATTTTTCTTGGATTAATATTTTCATATACATATTTATATACCTATAGAAATTTAAATATTTTGAATTAATTTTAACATAATATCAAATTGGAATATTTTTCGAAAATTTTTACAGATTTATTGAGATTCAGATTTAAAAAAAAGTCTCTAATGCTATCTGTAAAATTACGTATCCCTTAAATTAAAATCATATTTCGTTGTTTATGCTAAAGTCTATTATAGTTATGGTCTAGGGATAACAATCCACTTTACTAAAAGGCTCCACAGAGCATGCGCATTTCTTATGTAACGTGGCAAGAGATATGTAACACAAATGAAATCATTTTTACGATTGAAGTCATTTTGGTACGTTTTACACACAAAAACCTACCACTAACCGGACCTAACCTATTAGTTTATTTTTTTCAACGAAGGTGCACATACTGGGAGCCTCAAAGCAAAGTGGATTCGCTTTCTTTATAAACTATTCAATATTATAGATTTTAAAATTATACAGACTTTGATAAGATTACATCAAGGAATAATTAATACGTATGTTGTAATGGAATTTCATATAATGGAATTTAAAGTTATTTTTTATTTTATGCTTCTTGCTTTTTTATATTATTTAGGTGTTGATTTTTTGTATTATTTATACACATATGTTTTCTATTTAAATAACTTTATTCTTCTTTATCTCACAATTTTTTCTTTATTCAGATCTCAGGAAATGGTAGAAGATTGGAAAATTTATAACAAGACACTGTACCTACAGTGATGTCAAGGACATATATAAGTTAGCACTATGATTATTTTTACAATTTCCCGGAAGCTTTACATATTTAATATATTGGTTAGGTATTCCCACCTCGATTAGTCAAACTGCAAAGTAGAAAAAAATACTAATAAGAATAACGTTCCTTATGAAATCGATATCTAATTTTGTCAAATTAACTCTGTATAATTAGGTACATAAAAACATAATATTGGTAGCAATATGTACACACATATAGTCGTAATCTATTTATGAGTACGTATAGAGTGCTAGTAGGTACTATACAGATAATGAAAATATGTGAAATTATCATAATCGTTATCGACATTGTAAATGTTTTTTCCGGGAATTCTTAATCATTCGCTTCAAACAGAGCAGGACTTAAAAAAATTGCCACAGACGGAGAAACGTGAACTGGAAAAACAAATACAAAGATAAATGCTAACACAACTTTCTAATTTAGTTATACCTAGTGGTCAGCTGCTTGCGGCAATCCCGGTAATCATTTTTCCGGGAATTCTATTATTACCAGCACACACAGCAACATAATACTTAAAGTAGTTTCTGAGTGACAGATTTCACCGTATAAATTTCATTTGATGATTCCCATATTTAAACGATCAATTTGAACGGGTCAAATACTTACTATTAACCTTACAGACGCAACAAAAAACAAAATAGGTAGGTACAAACAGCATCGTAGCTAAGGTCATGAGCGCCCAAGGCAAGATTTGAATTTTGCGCGCATCAGAACTTATTCTGTAGGAAGAGAAAAAATACAATAACGAAAGTGTAATTTAAGTTACGCATTTGCGCCCCCTTGAGATTTGCGCCCCTGGCAGCCGCACGACGCTGGGTACAAACGCAAGCGTATGTGTGAACTGCACGACCATATACAATTAATTACCTCTGCCATGAATATATAACTAATAATTTGTGATTGAAGAGAATTCCTTTTAAGGGGTATCGCTTTCTGTCTCTTACTTTCTTAAATAACACACTAATAAAAAAAAAACACTTATAGGAGCATACCCTTAGCAAAGATATCTGGTTTCGGCTCTGGTTAGTGTGAAGTTTGGCAACTATGCAGTAAATAAATAACAAGCGACTTGATAAAAAAGTAAATGATAAGATAAGGGTGCAGGCAGTTAATAAGGAAAAACCGTTGGTTTATATACGAATTACTTACTGTGACACAAAATTGAAGTAAAGTTGAATTTTAATATATTTTCCTATACAACAGCATTTACATTTCACGGCTACCAGTAATTAGAACTTATGCTGCTTTATTAACACTTGTTTATACTCTATGAAATTTTAAATAGTTGTGTTTATTAGTTCGCTGTATGCAACTTCGTTCGATTTAAGGCGTACCCAGTACCATGCTAAACAACTCAACAGGGACTGGCAGCGTTGCCAGTTCTATTGTATTGATTTTATGTACAATTCATTCAAAAGGAGGTGGTTTTAATATAAATGACACTTCCACTTACAAGATTCAAGAAGTTACGTCCATACTAATATTTTTTTACATATAAAATAATATAATTTTTGTCGCTTAATTAAATTAACTGCATTCAAAACAACATAATAAAAACATATTTAATAAATTATTAAATGTTAGTACCTACCTAAAAAAATTATTAGCATAAAATTGATTCGTAATGCTCATATATGTGTGAAAGGTTACAAAAAAAAACAACCCAATGATGTGGTACTAACATTTTACTGAATATTTCAATAAAATTTTCCAAAAGATTTAAAAAAGTATTGAAGTCCCAGAAACAGAGATAATTATTAGTGATTTAAACATTTTTGGGATTATATCTGTTACGGTACACTAATGTTAAACTAGAGTTACTTAATTAAAATACTAATTAAATTCGTATCAGGGGATATTATAATGCATTTTTTATTCGTTGTTGTATATTAATAGAAATTAACCTATATAAGTAAACGTTTTTTAGTTATTACAAGTAACAAATATAACAGAACTGATAGCGCTTTGAGAAATAAATAGAGCTAGTGAAAAATCAGTAGATCTGGCAACGGGAGCACCGGTTGCAACCATGCGCAATTGCCATATTTACAAGGTTAATTCGCTGGTAGCATATACATATAAATTCACAGTTTAATATTTGTTGTGTGCTGTGTGATAATAAAACTGTTGATAAAAATAAAAAGAATCTATGTCCTCTATTAGTCACTAGGTATATGAGTATAAACACTCAACTCAACCTGAAAAAAACTTAATGTTTACCAAAAGCACCTGCTACGAAAATCAATAAACATATAATAATACAGATGAAATTTAAATACAGTTTGTATTATTCCGCATTCAGATAAAAATTATATGGATTCAAGCAGAAAAATTACAAATGGGAAATTTTTCAATGATTGATGATGATTGAGGAAAATGAAACTGAATTTTTGAGCCGATTTTAAAGGGGGTGTTTTATGTAAATTTATTTTATTCTGTCCTCCCCTAAGAAGTTACAGTATTTTAAATGTGGATATTGAAATCTAGTTTCCATAGTTTTTTTGTAAGCCGACCGACCTATTCTTCTCGTCACAATAAGGGGATGAAATAAAACACCCTTATATATTTATTATAAGAATTTGTACGAACTTATAAATATTCAAATGAAAAAAATTGTGTTGCACAACCCTGTTCAGAACAAATATGTTTTGTCTCTACACAAACTTCGAAATAACTTTTAATTCTCGTACGATTTTTTTTATTTTATTGTATGTGAGGCATCCTAAAAAAAATAGAATAAAAAAAGCTCCCACTGTAGAATTTATTTCATAAATTTGCACACTAAAAGACAATTTTTTTGAGAATTTTTCGAAAAAAACCGCCACTCTTTCAAAAAGCACTTTTTTGGTTTAAAAATAAAATAACAAAAAACTAAAATTGTATTATTTTTATATAGGTATTTAAATACAAAACGAACCAAATGAAAACAAAAAGTTTATGATATATTTTTGTCAAGTTACAGGGTATTTATTTGAAAATTCTTTTTTTAACAAAAATTCTAATAAAAAATTGGAGTGTTAAATATAACCACGTTTAGAAAAAAAAAACAAGGAAACTTGATTTCAACACCCACTTTTAACTTCTTTTACCTAAAACACACTCTAAAATCGGCTGAAGAATCCACTGTTTCATTTTCCTCAACTATGTTTGAAACACCCTGCATATTCCTAAAAATTACAAGAACTGAAAATTGCCGAAATAAAAAGTAAATACGACTTATAAAAAGTATTGTGAAGTAATACATATTGTAAAAGTATGATAATTATATGAACAATAAAACGGAATTAATTTTAACCTACATATATTTTTTTTTTCTGGTTTTAAATAATTTTATTTATTATGTATTAAAAAAAGAAATGTGAAGAATACCTCTTACGATATAGATACTCTTGTAAACAGCTTGTAAAATTTACATGTAGATTAGATAGACGCAAAAGTAAACACCTAATTGTTCACTTTCTATGTACACTGTTTCCAATTTTATTTCAGAGTATTAAAATTAACTATTCTGAAATTGATACTATTGAAATACATATGACTAATTTGAAATACAGTTAACGCCACAAAATATATCATGTTGACGCTATCTGAAATAATATGTTGAAAAGGTGCGGAATAGGCAACCAATTATACATGATCTGCTTTAATTCAACATAAAATAGTTACTCAATAGTTCATGTCGTTTTTTAGTTTAATTAAATTTTAATAATTCAGGAACCTGCATCAAATTAAATTAATCTAATTTATTTATCTTAACTTTTGACCTATTGGTCCTATGGACCTATAGTTTACAAAATTAATAAAAAATTAATAAAAGAGATGACATTCCGACAATGAAGAGTTAAAAAATGAATATAAAAAATTTTGCAATGATCTCAATAACTTTATTATAGTGGAAAAAGCCAAATTTTTCCAAAACGGCCTTTGAGAAAATTAAATTTTTTTGGAAAACTTTTTGGGAGTTTACAAATGAATTTTTCGGTATTGATAAAAATATGTCCAATATTTCAATTATAAAGAATGGAAAAGGAAAGAAAGTTACTGATGATTACGAAAAGGCTAACATTTTCAATGCCTTCTTTGCCACCATTGGAAAAACTCTTGCCAATCAGATCACCAGGAAGTTCCATAGTTTACCTGAAAATAAACAAAATAACTCGATATTTTTAAAACCTACGACTTCATCCGAGATTATTATTATTAAGTACATTAATGAGTTAAAAATTAAGTAGTCTCCAGGCATTGATGGAATTACATCGTCCACCCTGAAGGAAATTGCTCAGTATATTGCTAAGCCCTTATCTGTCATAATAAATAGAGCAATTTATGAGGGAATATGTCCCTCAGCCTTTAGGGTGGCCGTGGTAAAGCCTATTTATAAAAATGATGATAAAGAGGAGGTAACGAATTACAGACCTATTTCATTGGTTACTAATTTGGCCAAAATATTTGAAAAGGTAATTAAGGATAGAGTCGTCAGTTTTGTGGATAAGTACAAATTATTATCTAGTGCACAATTTGGATTTAGAAAGGGGAAATGTACACAGGATGCAATTGCGACGTTAGTAAGGTCTATGATTCGTTAGATAATCATAAAAAGTCCTTGGCAGTTTTCATTGATTTGAAAAAAGCCTTTGACACCGTATGTCATAAAAAGCTGTTAATGACACTGAACAACATTGGTTTCAGAAATAACAGTTTAAATCTTATAACATCGTATATAAACAATATACTGAAATAAATAGCATACGAAGTAGACCTAACATTACAGAATATGGTGTACCTCAAGGAACAGTACTTGGGCCTGTACAATTCATTCTGTATAAAAACTCTATTTAATATACAAACCTCAAGCACAATCTTAAGCTACGCTGACGATACTATCCTTTTCTATAAATCATCAAGCTGGGACGATCTGAAAGTCTTAGAGTAGAGAAAGACCTAGAAAAAGTTAAAAATTACTTCGATAGCTAATACTTAACTCTAAATTTAATGAAAACTTATTACATACCGTTTTATTTATATGACACATCTACTCCAACTTTTGATCTATTGGTTGTAAATGATGAATTCCGCATATTACCCGAAAGAGAGATAAAATATTTGGGAATTATGATTGACAGAAAATTGAGTTGGAATACACAAGTAAATTATATAGCAAAAAAAAAATAGGAAGTTGATATATCGGTTTAAATGCCTAAAATATATATTAGATATTAAACAAATGAAAATACTATACCTTTGCCTGGTAGAATCCCACTTAACGTATGGAATTTTAGGATGGGGTGGTGTGTTAGATAGTCACTTACAAAACTTGGAGGTATTGCAAAAAAGAATTCTAAAAATAATATTTAATAAAGATTTCACTTATCCCTCTGATGCATTGTTTAGTGATACCGGTGTTATGGATATACTGTCACTTTTTTACTATCAGTGTACATTGCATCAGTGGAAACAAAATGCAAAAACTATTTCCGTAAAAATGACTAGAGGAAATGTAAATAGCATCTAAGAGTTCCTAGAATAAAAACAACTTGCAGACAACGATGCTGTAAGTATCTCAGTGTAAAAGCATATTATAACTCGCTACCTGTTACCCTTAAACATATGACTACCCTTAAGCAATTCAAAATCAAATCTAAACTATATATTTTAAGTAAATCCAGAAAACAAATTTATGACATTATAAATCCAAAACAGAGGATATAATACATTGTTTTAGTTTCTGTCATCGGAGTTTCATATATTGCGTAATAACCACTTTTTTTTAGACCAATCTTTTTTTTACATATGCATAATGGAAAAATTTTTGTATAATGTGTATATTTTGTGTACTTTTATTGTAGTCATAACTATTGTGTTTCTAAAGATAATTTAAGTGCAATTTTAAATTGTATTTTTTTTATTTTTATTTATATTTTTTATTATTCTTTTTTGTTTTCTTCATGAACAGTGCATGTGCACTTATATGAAGTTTTGTGGGTTNAATTTTTTTTTAATCACGCCATCGTATTATACTCATTTTTCTCTATCTGCTCTTAAAATTAATGACGTTATGACTGAATCACCCTGTATTCTATTCTATTGGTAATAAAAGTCTTTAATATACTGGGTGTCCGCAAATTTCATCGACAACGTTTGACTGCATATTTAGGACGATAAATAAAAACGATCTACGAAAAGAAGTTAAATAAAAAATTTTTTATTTTTGAGTTACAACCTTTCAAAGTTGTCAAAAATAAAACTAATTTAATTAATAACTTCATAACCTTTTTGCCGATAGCGTTAAAATTTGGCACATTTATTTGGACTATTAAAGCGTATTATTTCTTAAAGCTTACTCAAATCGATATACTGGGTGATAGTTTTCTCCGGTTACCTCTCAAAACTTTTACTGTGGTCGTATTTTTTTAAAACGGTCAGCAACATTGAAAGTGGTTTTATTTAAGAAAATATTGTCTCTTGAGAAATTCGCCTACAGAAAGCCATTCTTGAGAACAATGGCATAATTTGGAGGACTGTATGTTTCGGTTTGCGTAGCAGGGTCACGGATTTAAAACTTTTTGTGTTCAGTAGACGATGAAAACAAGATGTTGATTGTTGTGGCTGTCAGGTAATGTCATTATTGTCATGTTTCTTTAGGATTATCATCACTCCACACATGCAAATTATGAAGTGTCCTCAGTGTATCGAGACAATTAAATGTATGGAAAACTAATGTTCACAAAACTTTTAAAAAACAACTTCTTCGGCCATTTCATTTAAATCCTGCTTTGAAAATTTAGACCCCAACGCACGTTTACAATTTTTCCGCTAATTGGTAAATGGCTTCGCAGAAGTTAATAATTTCTTTCAAAAATTGTTTTTTACAGATGAGTCTTGTTTTACAAGGAACGGGGTTGTCAATTTTCATAATTATTTACATAACTTATTTCAACATAATAAAATTTTATATAAAATAATTCGTATTACTTTCTAAGGCAACGTAAAAGAAGAAAATAATGACTGTCTTTTCTGTCAGTACAAGTAAGTATTTTAATTTAGTTACTAAGTAGATAAGCGGTCGCGAACTTGGAAATTGCAAAAATCCAGGAAAATCCTCTATTGACTTTTGTTATCACTTGGATAACATTCGAACGATTGTATTAAGTAAAATAAAAGTGACAAGAGGGTTACATATTTTCCATTACGGATCATCTGTTATGAGATTATTTTCTTTAATTTAATTATAGGAAAAGATGTCTCATACGTCATTTACCACTTGAATTATTTTTTAAACGACATATGAGAAAACATCGATTACCTCTTGTCGATATCATTAGGTACACGTATATTAATTTAATTAGTTGTTTTAAACAGAATATTGAATATATATATGTGCATTCTTTGTATCTCCGAAAAATGAAAAGCCGTAAGTATAAATTAAAGTATTACTAATTCTAATTTAACCTATTTTATCACTAATCGGTTATTAAAGATATTTAAAAAAAATTGATATATGCGAAAAGCTTAATAACTATTTGGAATTTTTAATATAACTGATGACTTCAAATTTTTTCAAAAGTAACTGAAGGCAAAGAAACAAACAAATTCATAATGAAATTGTCAATTAACCTTCTATGTTATTGTTACCTTTATGTTTTGTTTACAAAATATTATTCAAGTATTGAATGGGAAAACTGAATGAATATGAATTAAAGATATTACATAAGAAAAAATTCTAAGTCAAGTTCCCAAAGGTATTTGTCTGGAACTTGCAAAATCAGAAAAAAAAATTGGTTTTGGAAGCAAATTGCTATACATAGGTTGTACGAATATGCAAGGATTGAATGAGAGATAGGCATATTTAACTTTTTTTCTTAAATAATTAAAAGCAAAAACCATATGAGTTTAAATAAAATTTTCCAGGAAATTAAAAAAAAAATTAAATATCATAATAAGACAAAAACAATCAAATAAAATCACAAAACAATTTGAGGGAAGTAAAACTCTTACCATAATAGACTCTTTTAGTGTGTGACGTCACATATTTAGGCAACCCGCAACAAATTGACATAGTTGAAATTATACAGATCGAATCTGACCCTTGTTTACTATTTACATAGATGCTATAGAAATGAACAATTTCAAATTAACCTATTTTTACAAAAATTTAGAAATATTTAAGAACAGCTAACACGTGTTTCAACTAGATAGGTACACTAATGTGCTTAAAGCTTACAAAAAACGATATAAAAGAATATTCTATAATTTAAATAAAGTAAAAATTTAACATTAGCCGTGTTATTACTAATGCGCATGCTCGGATAGGATAGCCTCATACGCAGGTGAGATCTTGTTGATATATCATCGCTGTCATAATTAGCGTATCTTCTCTTATTTTGTTTAATCCTGGCATTTTCTAGTTCTACCAAGTATTTTTTATTGGTTTTCTTGGTGCTCTGCTGTGTCAGTCTGTTTATTGAGTGTTTTCTTTCTTCAAGTGGTTTATTGTAGACGTACTCTTAACCAGAACCAAACTTCTCTTGAATAGTATCCTGTTGCGAGGCTACTTCGATTACATAAAATTACCTTTAATGCGCATGCTCAGTAACATTGATATAATTTTAATTTATTAATTACTATAAAATTCAATATTGTTCTATAAATTTAAAAATATAAATTCTATAATGTATGAGACTACTCACATGACTAGTTTCAGAAGAGTAGGTTTACCAAATCCTTCAAAACATTGACTAGTAATTGAATATCACATTATCCAAGAGAAGAAGGAAGTACAAGTAATACAATAAACTTGAATCGTAAAAGGAAAACGTCTAGATAGTCCCCGCAAAATCGATCGGATTTATATCACAATATCTCATCAAATAGAATATCCACGTATAATATTTACATGCAACCTTAATTTTTACCTCTACAAAAATTTACATAAACATGAACAAACTAACCTACACATGACATTTATCTCATAAATTGCGTTACATTCTTGTACATAGACGTATATATCTATAGGATAGGAATAACATTCCATCGATGAAGATTCAGTAATTATATAAAAAATTTAACGATATTTTGAAGTGCTGTGTATAATGTGTGTCCATACAACTTATAGAGTCGAGGAAAACTAATTTTCTTCATTAAAAAGGTAAATATTATTGTCAGTGCTGCAAAGGGCAAAACTAATTTTCCGTAAATCACCAAAAACATTTTTAAAAGGTAAAAACAAAACTAGTGGTAATAGATAATTATTATCATCGTCCTATTTATGAAATCGCATCATGATGAAGATAGTAATCGAGGGGATAGTAATTAAAATTCTAAGGAAAATAGTAAATCGGGTATTTTCTAAATTGCAGAAAGTAGCTTCGTTATAATAAGAACAAGATATTTGAGTATTACACTTTTAGACAAAGGTAAAATATTGCAGAAAACATAAAAAAATAAGAGAGGAAGATTACAACAAACATTGAAGGTTGACGACAAAGGTAATAAAAAGGAATATTGATAAAAAGAAAAGTATGAACTAAACCCTACATTATTTAAACTATGATTTTTTATTGTTCTAGACACAACATCAATAGGATATTATATCCTACAGCCTTATCTATATAAATTTAAATAGTATAGATAGGAGATTACCATCTCGTCATTTACATAATTTTAAGTACTATGACATGTGACAAGGTATACTGAGGACATAATATTCCAAACGTTTTGACCGGTTTTGTCAAAGGATTTGAATATAAGCCGTATATAAACTGTAACAATCTTATTTAACTAGTAGTAGGTGTAGACTGTTTAAGGTGAGCACTTTCACTCTGTTCTTTGTTGTCAAATCAAAGGAAAGGTTAGTACGGTATTTTTACCAATTCCTTAAACGTGGTTCATGTTTACGAAGAAATATAACTTCAGCCTGTACAAATGCCGCCTTGTAATAAGAAAAGCATTTTAGAGAAACGGTACTTTTTCTAAACATGTCATCTCGTACTTGTAAAATGAGATACCTACATATCGTAATTTAATAATGCCGTCGTCGCTTATTTCACAAATCAAATATCAGTAATAAGATAAATACCTGCATACCTGTATATTTCATGCATTTATATATCTGGGCATATAAATATGTACTTAGTTTATTTGACAAACAGTTATAGAAATTACTGTACCTATTTATGTAGTTTTCAGAAGAACATACTTTTTAAAGTGATAGAAATATTAATTAAAATAAAAACCAAGGTCACAAATCACATTCAAATATATTCAATGTATTTTGTAACATCTAATTTAAAAATATATTGTCTGGGTTGCATTTGTAGGTACTTATAATAAAAGATCTAACTTCAACATAAATGTTGAATAAAAATTGTTTTGGACTTACCTTAGGCCTCTACAATATGAATTCTTCACTTGTTCACACACTTCTGTTCCAACGTTTCCTAAAAAATATCTCTATTGAAATAACAAGAACCACAAAAAATAACTGTGGTTAGTTAGATATTATGCCTGATAAATTATTGTTTACTGTGATAATTTTTTTTTTTACTACAAGACTCCACATTTACTTCTGTTTCTGAGCCAGTATAAAATTTATAAGAGTTATCTCACAAAACAGAGATGTGTTTCGAGTATTATTATTTTTAATGTCAATTTATGATAAGAAAGACCAATAATCAAACACAAGAACATCAAGTTCGCAGTGGGAAAATATTTCTCTGGTAAATGTTATTACCTGATACAGTGTCATCTTCCATTCAAGTAATGTCCGCTAGACTTTGTAAGCGTTTATTTAAAGAACTAAAAGGTAAATCATTAAGGTAATCTTATAAAAATATCGTTATTTTTCTACAGATACCTTCAGGGAAGTGAAATGAATAGGTATGAGCCACTTTAGTAGATTTGATTAGCCTTTAATAGGACTAATGATAAAAGTGTGGTCTTTCGAAAGAAAATAAGTTATTTTACAAATTTTTCAAAAGCAATTCATTTCTTTAATAAAAACAAAACAATAGAACGTCGGGTTTAAGAGGTATATGTACTAGTTCTGCTTTTATTGTTAAGATCCTGTATATTTTTGCATATTTTATTAGAACACTTTCTCATGATTACAGGGATATAATGTTACCTAATATTATAATAATAGTAATAATAGTAATAATAGTAATAATAGTAATAATAGTAATAATAGTAATAATAATAATAATAATAATAATAAAGGAGTTGTTTCCAACAATAGATAAAGAACAGTAATCTCTAATGCTTTCCACTTATAAATATTTTCATTACTCATTTAGTCATATCTCGACTAATATTACAGATAATCTATCAAATCATAGATCTCTGTAATTCTACAGTACCTAGAGTATCTAACAAAATTGGGTGTTTTCACATTACTTTTAAAGATAAATTATCAAATTATATTTAGATGCTAAAAATCTTGAACTTTATAAGTTCAAATAAAATATTATATTCATTTGCTTTTTTGTTGATTTGTGCTGATTTGGAAGCATCCAAAATGTAAGTTCTGTTAAAAATGTTATTTTCCAGGAAAATATATCTGGAAGTCTGCTCCGAGGTTCTTCCAATTTTTCCAGCTTTTTGATTTGCTAAAATATGTACGGGATGTTTCTAAATGGCTTTACCAAAAAATTTTTAAACTAAAATAAATAAAATAAGAGCGAAATCGACAAACGATCCTGTTCGGTTAAAAATTAATTTGAAACATTTTTATTTCAAATTAGGATTAAAATTATGTCATAAACGACTAGAACTTTGTCAAATGTCCAACAATTTTTCCAACAAAAAAAAATCTAAATAAATTTTGAAAATTTTTTTAACATTTAGATTTTTTTCTAAAATTTAAACTGTACCTACTGCAAAATTGTGGGAAAAGTCGAGAAAATTTCCTCTTTTTCATTTTGATGATGATTACGTAATGTTTAGAAGCAACATACACGTGTTCCTTTAATTCTTTCCAAAACTTTGATCACTTCGAACAGAAAAACAGTTTGATGCATCAACTTTTCAATTTACAGGGTTATGGTGGGTACATTAAGCTGTATAAATTTATTTCAACATTAGTGTTTTTATCAATATTTATAAATTAGCGATAGATTTTCTAAAAAACTGTAAAAAGTCATTTTGTTGCACTCTTTTCAAATTCATGTTAAGGCGAAAAAAATGTTTTCTTCAAAAACCAGCACAGGCCCTTGTAGAGGATTTATTCAAGTTTTCAAAACTGTCCTTGGATTTACTGTGCAATAATTTCTTGCAAAGATAACTATAATTAAAGACAAAAGTGTTATTTTTTATTCAACCAACGATATCTCGGCAACCAATAGTCGCACAGAGACCTTTCAAAAATGAAATTAAACCTGAATAATTAAGCTAACTGACCTTTGTATTGATTGAGTTTGAAAAACATATCCTGAGCCCATGGACATACCTAAAAAAAATGAAGTATTTCTTTTAATTGCTCTATAACCGTAGCTCAAAAACTAGAGACTTAAAGCTTAAAAATGCTTTTTTCTTTATCTCGATATGATCATTTTTTCACTGAGATACAGCCTTCGAAAATCATTAAAAACTAATGAAAATTTTTGGTACCTTTAATTTTTTTGCAGCGGTGTATTTTCTATAGAATTTAACCTAAGGAAGCGGCTGTTACCGAAATCTCGAATATTTTCGAATATTACCAAGTTTCCGTTTATGCGGTTTGTGTTAAAATTCAGCGGTAGGCCCTTAACATAGCCAATCCGACACTGACCATATAAACAAATACATAATTCAAAAGCAAGCTTATCCTGAAGTTAAAAATAAAAAAATGGTGATTAATTTTGATAAGAAACCTACACTATTATTCAAAATCTACTGAAATTTTGCTATTCGAACCAAAGTAGTAGGTGTTATAAAATTTCACATTTTTAAATAGGTACTAGTAGTATTTTGATAAATTATAGACAACAAAATACTGAAAGAAAATCTTGAATTAGGGAAATAATGAAATAAACTTTACCACCACCAAACAGCACTGTGCAAAAAATGATTTTGGCGTGCATGTACCATGGTGGAATGGTTAAATTTTCTAAGGTGTTTGACCTTATGAAAACGCGAACGGTAATGTAAACCATTTTTGGACCTCTGAAGTGGCCAATCCAGTCCAGTCTATTTATATGCAGACATATAAATGGCAGAGCAGATTCAAACATTTATTTATACACCTGTTAATAGGTTCCTTCAACTTGAATTTGTTTTTCAGGTATGGGAGAAGTGTACCCTGTGATTTTTTTGGTATGTTTGATGTTCGGCGCCATAAGGTAAATATTACTATTACTACAATCAATTTTATTACTAACCTAATTGTATTTAATTATTAGAAAACTAACTAAAAGTATCAATTGAATTTTTTTTGTTTTATTTATATATTTGTAGTTTGTAGTTCAAAAACACAAACCGACAAACTGTCGCAGAGAATATTAGAACAGTGTACGATATTTTCACTAACTAACTGTAAATGAACCAATATTTTTTTTTTAGTTAATTGCGTGTTTCTGTCACACTGATGGGAAAAAAGCCTTTTAAATTTGACTGGATCAACTCACACTAACGTATACTGTCTTTATACTCTCATAATTTTTAGTCAAAGTGAATGCAAGTCAAATGCGATTTTTTTTTTAATTTATGTTTTACTGTCAATAGAGATCTAAGAATACAATATACACACTATTCTGTTGTTACCTCGTCATTAAGAATATCCGACCTTGTGTTATAGTTTTTATAATAAAATCGTAAATAATAATCTACTTTTCTCATTGTCGAGATATCGAATTAGGCTGGTATTTTTGGTACAATCTATTTAAAGTTACAATTACTTTTGTAATTTGTAATTAAAATGTTGAATTGTGGACCTTATACAGGGTGTTTCAATTCGAGTAAATCAAACTTGAACCACAAATAGACCTCAGTAAATAATTCAGAATTACCTTATAACGCAAGGGTCTAAGTCTCACCTTTTTCAATGTACAGGACCGTATTTGCCGGTTGTTAAAATCATATTATTTACGAAATCTTTGGTATGCTTATAACAAATTGATTAAAATTTTATGTGTTGTTAACATTTACATCTGTGCATAATTTACTGTAAAATGTACACATTTTTGTAGGTCAGTAGCGTAGGAATGGGTAGTAAAGTGGGATTTTTTTAACCCAACTTCTACGCCAATGGCCTAATAATCATTTGGGATTCATTTTTAGATTCCGTGGACAATTCTACATAAAAAAGGTATACTTGTTGAAAATCGGTATAGTGTATCGTTTAGCCGAAATTCTCAATTGAATGGGAGATCGTTTTTCACGCCCTCTATCTTCGGAACAAAGCGACACCCTGTATATCTACTAGTAGAACGTCAAAGATATTGCTTTTTAGAGTCTAGTTAATTGCCTCGAAACAGTTAAGACCACAAATAATTTTACATTAGATGTCCGTTACGTTTTTGCAATCGAGGTTTGTTATCATTAAAGTCGTAGTGTAGATAAAAATTAATATAAAATTCGTTACATTTGCAATGTCAATCTCAATAATTTTTGTTATTAGGTATATTACTTTTATTAATCTGTACCTATTATATTCCAAGGTTTTAATTACGAGTACATTTTATTACTTCAAATGTGTTTTAATATGGTAATGTTCATATTTAAATCGAATTCATGATTATCTACAGATCGAAATAACCCTTGCATCACGTCAACGCAGCAACGATTACAGCCACAATTTTAGGTTTTTCCAAGTTAATAACAACTGTCGTAAATAAAAAATATTTAAATTCTAAGCTATGTATTTACTAAGAACTTATCTGCATATTAAATACATATAGGTTTAACCTCTTATAATCATTATAGAACTTTTTTAACGATTTTCCCGTCAATTTTCTTTATATACGGGGTGTTCCGAAATTATTGCAACAAAATTTGGTCACAGATTCTTAAGACAAATTTAGGGAACCCGTATTTTTTATTTTTGCCAAGTGGCCCTCTGTTTCCGAGTTACAGTCCTTGAAATCGGCCCTAAGAATAGTTTTCTTTTATATCTGTTGTACGAGAATCACTAAATTTGGTATAGTCCTTCCGAAGTCAGTTAAATATGCAAAAAACGTCTGGTAATAAAATTTAATTAGTTTCATAGGCGTCCCTAAAAAAATTTTCTGCTAAAGGTAAAAAATTATAATAATTTTTATATATAATGTGTAGAAAATTTCTATTATATGTTCATTTGGCCAACAACATATTTTAATTATTTATGTCCTCAATCAATTTTATTATATTGGTGGTAAATTTTGTTTTGTTCCGTTTCAAAAGGTCTCCAAAATGCCATGTTGTGATAATATTGGTAAACAAAATATCCCTCTTATTTCTCCCTTTCGCAATTGTAATATGAATGATTGATAGAAGGTGCCTATAATAAATTAAAATTGCCTGATTCACACCAAATTCCGCACTGCTGCACTGCACTGCTGGGCAATTTATGAACCACTTGTCGCCTGCTGTGATTTATTGCCCAGAAGCCCAATACAACTGTGCTCGTTTTCCTTTGGCCGCGCTCGCATTCTTCAACTGGTCGTATACATTTCTACCACCTGCACGTTTAGTTCGACCAGACCTATATATGGGTATGGCTAAATAAATATGGGAACAAGTTTTTCAAATATTTCAATGCCAAGTTGCTGCTTAGCGACCGAGCCTGGTACATACCTTGAAATTATAGGTTCTTCAATTGACTTCGGAAAAACTATACACAGGGGTTTTATGACATGTGCTACGCTTTTTAGCAGATAATTCAAGTAAGACAATTTTTCGTGGGACCCCTTGTCTGTGGAGCCAAAAAAATTTGGTGGCATAATTAATTTTCTTAAAAATTATTATTAGTCCGCTATAAAGCCATTGAATTAAGAAACTTTTTTGTTTCTTGATATTGGAGAGTTTCGTCACAACGTGACAACAGCGCTTAATCTGCTAATGCACACCACGTGTACACGCGGCAGACTTGTCCTACGGAAAAAATGTAAACAGCTATATTGTGAAACATTTAATAAATTTCAGGACAATTGTTTTCCAGTTTTTAAATAAATAAAATATAATGTATCGATTTTGTAGTACGAAGATGGTGCTGTGCTTAAATTTTAGCTCGAATTTTAGTAATTATGAATCTTTTAAATCAGGAACTTAACGTTTAATCAAATTACGTATCTGAAAAATATGTAGTTAGAGTACCCAAAGATTCACGCCGTCCAAATAATCATACGTATTAAAAATAATTTAGGTAGGTACTTATCAAAAAGCAAAATTCAGTAATTTTTAAACGCACAAGTACAAAACAAACTACAACATATGCTCAAAGTGTCCACCACCAATTTCGATGCACGCACGACACCTTCGAATCCAATTTTCGCGCACTCGCTGAAAAACACCTCAAGAAAAGGAAATAGTAGTACGCAAAAAACACTCCGACACGCTCTAATCCAGATACCAACTGAATTGCGTATTGCTGATTGCTAGACTGCTTAGTACCTCGTGTTAACCGCCGCGCCGTTGTCACATTGCTCGATATGAATCTTATCGAATTTTCAATTTATTACAACGCTAATTATTTTTTAGAATTAAGCATAAAGAGGTTCAAAAAAAGTGATACACATTGTATTTTATGGTGTTCTATGCACGGAGTTATGTCAATATTCCTTAATTAATAGATCTTTTGTACATCAAGTTGGAGATTTTGATCATTGTTTTCAGGGAAATGGTTGAGTTTAGGGCTCATGTCATATAAGGTTTTTTTTTGTTTATTTTAATATATTCTATCATCTGTTAAAATTAAGGCAGTCAAACTTCTAACACTCTGTAGATAGTACGTGTCTACTTATCATACTTTTGCTGATGACACTTCTATATATGGCTACTCTATATTCAACCCTTTTGTGGGTTTATTTTTTACTTTTCATTTACTATTTGTATTTTGTAGACCCTTGAATTTATGGTGTCTTTTTCCAGGACACCCTGTATTTTATGTACGCAAATTTAGTTTTAACTATTTCAGTTTTTCAGTAATTTCAGATACACTAACAAACGAAATCTTGTTATTTGTTTTTCTTTACTATTTTAAAGAATGTACACATAAAAACAGATGAAAAGATAGCTAGCCGAATAGATAAATTCTGTTGTCAACTAATAAAAAGATCTTGATCTATATTTATTTTACAACATTCCAAATATTACAATAGGTATTGATTTGATTTTTGATTATAGATAAATGGTCGTATTATAACCAATAAACTAATTTCGCAACATTTTACAACTATTTATAACGTACAGCCATAAAATTTCATCAAAACAATGCTCTGATCAATCAAAAGAATAGTATTAATTCTCCAGTACGCAGAAATGAAAATAAGTCTGAATAAAAAATACTGGTGGTGTTTGCTACCTATAGGCGCAACTAGTTTGTTCATTGTTTTAATGTTTATTTTTGTCTACAATAAGAAAGAGAGGTATGATAAAGTTTTTTTTTTGTTATGATTCATCTAAAAAGTCACCCTTGTCTTTTGAGATAAGCTTGCACAAACACCCTGAGAAAGAGATATTTCAAAAATATATTGGAGAAATTTCAGAATATTAGTAAAAAGCTATATATTTTACGTAACTATTTGTAATACAGTGTCCATATTGAAAGTATATCTGTTATGGGTAAATATTCATTTTACGGGCAACATTATGTCTCAATATTGTCACATCCAAAATTTCTTGATAACTACATAGCGATCTTTATAATTTTACATATTTAATTATAATTACATCTAAAGCACATAATGCGTCAAACTTAATTCATTTAAACAAAAAATCTCGGCAATACCGCTCACAATGGTCAAATATACAGGGTGTCCCAAACCCCGCCTTTCAGGAACAAAGGTTTTAGATAAAAGTTGTAGGATATTAAGGAACCAATCACATTGGATTTCACCTTGACCTTCAGTTTCAAGGTCAAAGCAATATAAACCTAATATTTTAGAACACCCTCTATATGACTGTATTAACGATAATGTTAAGCTCTGTCAGCGAGTTGTATTATTTTGTCAATAGAAGAATCTAAACATAAAACAACCCTTACCTTCTTCAAACTATTTTTTGAAAACTCATATCTAGTTCGTATATATACAAGGTGTCCAAAATATTAATGTTCAAAGTTAGAGAGTGGAGTTAATTATAAGACTACAAAACACAAGTGTTATTTCAATATTTATTAAACCTACAAAATTATCATGAAATAAATAGAAATTCATTAAAATTTATTTGGCTTTCTAAAATACCTAAACAAGCTTGAGCTCGTATACTCGTAGATACTCCAATAATTCCTGCCTAATATTTGAAACCACACCAAATCTTTTATATACGCACAGAAATAATAATCTAAAGGATTATGGTTGGGTGTTCTAGCGGTCATGTAAAATAACCTTCACGACTTGGTATACTCAGATAAGATCTAAATTGCATATGGTTTAAAAATTTAAATACTTATATTTAATTTCATAATTTCACGGACATAATAACTTCGGAACAATTAAAAATCGACCTGCGATTCTTGTCTCTTTTGGTCTTAGAATTAAATATATCGTATGATCCCAAAATTTGAACATACCAATACCTAGCACTTTGGAGAAAGGTGTCCACGTGTGGAAAGCAAAATATCTGGCTTAGTTATTTGTATTTATTTTTAATGAAACTTGAAATGAACCTGAATATAATTACTTATTTCAGTGGCTTGAGCTCAGTATGGTCCTGGCAGTGCGAAAAAGGGTATTGTCAAAAGAAATTAATAACTAATGAAACGGAAAATACAGCCCTCAGTCTACCAGCATGCAGACTATTCTGCTCCCAATCGGCAGCGTTGTGGCCAAAGCCTACGGGTACTGTGTCAGTGGGGAATTTCCTAGCCAAAATTAACGTCAACAGTATCGACGTGGAAGGGATCAAATCGGAAACCACTACAACTGATCTAGCCCAAGCGGCGGCGAAAATTTTTAAAGAACAAATCCGGATACTAATCCCCAAGAACGTCAACCCAACAGGAGGCAAATCGTTAATCGTCAATCTGGATATACAAAATCCTAATATCAACAAAATTACTTTGGAATTGGACGAGAGCTATACTTTGCAAATATCAGAATCTTCCGATGGAAGACTGAAAGCGTTGATCACGGCTGCGACGTTCTTCGGAGCACGCCACGGTCTACAAACGCTAAACCAGTTAATAATTTACGATGATTTGAGGGATGAATTGCAAGTTCCGAGGGACGCGTCCGTGACAGACAAACCCGCATACCCCCACAGAGGAATACTACTCGATACTTCTAGAAACTATGTTACGGTGGACACAATCAAGAAAACAATCAAAGGCATGGGAGCTTCGAAAATGAACACTTTCCACTGGCACATCACGGACTCTCATAGCTTTCCCTACGTTTCCCAATCCCAACCTAGATTATCCAAGTTAGGAGCTTATTCGCCTACTAAAATATACAGTCCCAGTGACGTGGCAGAGATCATCCAATACGGAAAGGAAAGAGGTGTGCGAGTGATGCCAGAGTTCGATGCGCCAGCTCACGTAGGAGAAGGCTGGCAAGATACTGGTTTAGTCACGTGTTTCAACTGGCAGCCCTGGCAGAGTTATTGCGTCGAACCTCCTTGTGGACAGTTCGATCCGACAAAATCTAAGCTCTATGATGTCATCGAAGGTAAGTTCCCTTTATTAATAAAAGGAATTTTGAAAAAAAAGGTACCGGAGAACCCAACCTCAAAACAGTTGTGATCTGAGGTCTCACCTAGCGACTTCCTCTACCAAATAGTCAAAGCTAACAACACAGTAGCAGTCCTACACCAAATTTGCAATACTTAATATTTTGTACATCACACGACCGAAATTGTTTTTTACAAACTATGAACCCTCTATCTCAATTCCTATAAACCATGGGCCCGCTCTTATTTTTTACGTTCTACCAGAAAAAAAATTATAAAAAGATAAGTTCAGGGTTCTGTTTATTGAAAAATTTTTTCTCTCACTGAAAGAGTCAGATAAATAAAAAATTAAAACGCCAAGAATTACTAAATCACATACTGCAATTATGTACAGGGATTCAGAACAAAATTTTTGATGTACATGGGACTCTTGCAAATACAATTTTGTAAAGAAAAAATGAAAAAGGGCAGTTCAAAAATGATTTAAAAATACACTTCTGCACGGCACTGGAAAATGGTCCACTGTAAAACCTGACCTCGCAATGTGACCGACATGGCGGCAAACTGTGATGAAAACGGAAAAAACTTTCGCAAGGAAAGAAATAAATAGAATTTTATAGCACCTATTTTATATCGGTAAATTCAACTGCTTTTGCTATTATTGATATTATTAATTAAAATAATTTGACATAGGTACCTAATGTTACAACAACTGTTCAAAATTTTATCTACCTACGTATAAACACATTCGGGTCCGTCTTATTCAGTTTCTACGAACTAACGCAAATGTTGTCTTGCTTCACCATAAATTAAAACGATATCCGTCAACTCCGAGTTACTATACACGCAAGCCATTTTTGATACTAACTACTAAAAACTATTGTAAACACCACAGATAACAGGTAAACACTATCGCAACGACGATTGTAAAATCGGATATCAGTATTGGGAGTCGCTGAAGCCACGTGGCTATCCACGCGTTTTGCGAATGACGCTAGAGACTACAGTTGTCCAGCCATGTAATGGTTGAATGTACTGATAGTTATAAAAAATAGTTCACATTTCAAATGCATGGCTCCTTTTTACTGTATTAGTTGTTTAAATGTTAAAAATTGACTTAAAAATTGTTTTTTATAAAAGAATGTTGACTATAGTTACAATTGTTTTTAATCTAGTGAAGTTCATAAAATTTTAACAACAATGTTCTTGTATACTTCGTTTTTGATGGTTTTTATATTATAACCTCACGTTTATGTCTTGAGAAAGGAAATAAACATTTCCGAAAGCTTGACAACAACACAGTGTTCTTATTACATTAGCCCTTAGCACTGTTGACTGCAATCCCAAATACATCACTGTTTTTTTTTACTATTTTAAGGATTTTACGAAAATTTTTTTTAAGATATGACTCCATTTCTCTCTCTTTTTTCGTTGAAACCTTGGAATTACGTTTTTTTTTTTTCAGTTAGACTTAAATTTGATTGTTTATCTGCTTCCATAGCTAGATATATTTATGTTGGTTTTGTAATATTATTTTCCATCTCCAAAATTTTGAGCCAAGCCAATTGATGAAACCAAATTTTCATTCTTCAAAAGATGAAATGTTCAGTAATCAATTTAACTTAAAAAAAAAATATAATAAACGACCAACAACCCGGGAATCTTGTTGAAAGAGTTTTTAAAAATATTGAATGTAAAACAAGTAAAAATTGAATAAATATATACAGGGTGATTCATTAATAATGGGACAGAGATTAATGGCAGGTTGTTGTCTTCAAAATAGAACGATTAAGCCAGACAAGTCTTATCCCAATGTTGCTCCTTTTCGATCTACAGGGTGTTAGAGTAGAAATTTTTTTTTAAATTTTTTGAAATATCTTGAGCATCTTTGAACCGATTGTCTTGAAAGTTTGTAGACCTATGTTTTCTAAGGTGACAATTACGAAAATGATAACTATTTTGCAATCAGTTCTAGGGAGCGCTTTTTGTAGTGTTCTGTCAGAGTAAAAACATTAAACGTTTGTGCCCTTCAAAGATCTGAACTTCCAATAAGAAATTGTTAAACTACGTTCAATTCTATGTACAAAAAGTATACCTGCTACTAATAATCGAAAAACTTTCGAAATAAAGACGATAATAGTTTGTTTCAGGATAGGCCTTGAAATACGTAGACTTAATTACGAATTAAGACAGACACAGCAACAATTGAAAATTTTATTATGCTTACGTCTAACTTACGAAATACAAAAGATTCTCAAAGTGACCACCATCGACTTCAATACACTTTTTTATTATCTCGTTAAAATTCTGTCTAACTCTGAATAGAGTTCTTTGTTGGTTTCTGATAGTGTTAACAGATTCTTCTATTTTTTCTCGAGTATGTATAACATCTTTATAAACCATTATCCCAGAAATAAAAATCCAGTGGATTTAAATCAGGACTACGCGCAGACCAAGAAAAATCGCTGCCGCAACCAATCCAACGGTTTGGAAAACTTCTATCAAGATATTCTCTTACTGGTCGAATAAACGTGCGGGAGCGCCATTTTTACTTACTGACGGAATACTACAAATAGCGCCCCCTAGAACTGTTTGCAAAATTGCATTTTCGTAATTGCCACCTCTGAAAATACAGACAACATTCGGATAAGGCATATTTGGCTTCATCATTCTATTTTGAAGTCAGCAACGTGCCTTTAACCTCTGTCCCATTATTAATGAATCACCCTGTACATTTATATTATCAGAAAAATTAAGGAAAATAGGTACCAAATTTAACATTAGATCAGACAACTAATAATTTACAAACTCTTTTATCAAAAAACGATCTGAAATAGCGATGTACGAAATTTAAAAAGTTACATCCTTGTGAATGCAATAAACATAAATGTTGAGAAACCTGTCGATCTGATAATCTGAGAGTTAAATTGGAAAAATCAAAAACTTTTGGAAAAACGGACTATCCAATGGAATTCCTGTAAAATCTCGGATAATGAAAATAATACCACTACAAGAAAATTAAAAAATAATCAGAGAAAAGAACTGAAAGTTTGCCACAAATAAATATTCTACTAGACATTTATATCACTCTTATTCACGACAAGAATTGCTAGAATGTTGACCTAGAAAATTGCTCTATAAAAGCAGTCAAATCCAGTACAAAAAAAAAAATAAGTAGTTTTTATTTGACCTTTATAAATTATTATATCAAATTATGCTAGATAAGTCCGTATACCTATTGAATACCTATTTTATCGATTAGATGTGGTGTCTCACGGTTTGAATAAAATTGAAAATTTTTAATTAGTTACAACCAGCATATGAATCCTGAACAACTAGCAATTATATTTCCAGCATTACACAACATAAATAGTTTTAATAGCTTTCACTTTTAACACGGCAAATGAAACTTCTATTACCCAAGGCAAATAAACAAATAAGTATTGTCTGTTTGTATAACTTTCAAATATCATATTCTACAGGGTCATTTATGAAGAACTGTACATACTGCAGTAGGCGGAATGGAGTAAATACGCAGTGACCACTTAAAAAAGTCGTAAATCAAAATTCGTGGATCACATCCAATATATGTTCAATATACATACCATAGGAAATAGTAGAACAATATACAGGCTAAGGTTTTCTCAATGGGCACAAAAAAATGGGAATTTTTCCTATAGCGTTCTAGAATTTTGGTATTTTGCCTTCAGTGGTATGTACCTATACTATATAACACAACAAAACTAAATTAATTCTCACAAATAATTCAAAAACTAAAGGTAAAAAAAAGTTTTAAAGATAATTCATAGATTACCCTGAATTGCAAAAAAAAAATATGATGAGAATTTTACACATATAAAATACACTTATAGCAGGATTCTCAAAATAGTTTTAAAAACGTTTAATTATTATATTTTTTAGATATCTATGGTGACATGATCGCGCAGTTCCAACCTGACATCTTCCACATGGGCGGTGACGAGGTCAATTTCAACTGTTGGAACAGCACGGACAGCATTGTGGAATGGATGGCCAAAGAAAAGGGCTGGGGAAGAACAGAGGCGGACTTCGTGAAGCTTTGGGATTATTTCCAGACTCAAGCTCTTGAGAGACTTTACAAAAAAGCTGGAGGCCAAATACCAGCGATAATGTGGACCAGCACCCTCACTCAGAAAGAGTACGTACTGGACCATCTCTCGAAGGACAAATACATCATTCAAATTTGGACCACAGGAAACGATGAACAAGTCACCAATTTATTGGACAACGGTTACAAATTAATTTTGAGTAACTACGACGCGCTCTACTTAGATTGTGGCTTTGCTGGGTGGGTTACTGATGGGAACAATTGGTGTTCTCCTTATATTGGATGGCAAAAAGTTTACGATAATAAACCTGCAAGCATCGCAGGTAAATACTATGAATCCGTGAGGGAAATAAGGAACAAGTTTGATAATGCGCTTTGAAAGGCCTTACAATTGTTTGAGTCTTACTTTTTGACATATCCTTTCTGCTTAATAACGCACTCGGTAATAATTGGCCTTTCTGATTTTAACGAAAGCTTGTTGAAGCAGTTTTCAACAACTTTGCAGCGCCTTGAATATTTTTAACATTATGATCTTCTACTCCAATGAGTACTTATTCTCTTAGTAATGGTGAACCCGAAACTCGCCTAAGATTGAATGAATTTGTGAGGTTGGAACTTTACATATGAAAATGGTAATAAAATTGATGCAAATTTGATTAAAATTCACGTCGAATGCTTGTTTCTTAGACAACTAGTATTACAAGTATATTGCGAGTGTATTACAAGTATTAACTTTGTATTATTTCAAGTATTATTACTACAAGTATCGCAAGTATACAAGTATTACAAGTAGTACAAATACAAGTACAAGTACAGTGGTACAAGTACAAGTAAGTAAGTAAATAAGTAATTAAGTAAGTAAGTAAGTAAGTAAGTAGGTACAAATATTACAAGTATACAAGTATGACAAGTATATAAGTATTACAAATGTACAAGTATTATAAATATACAAATATACAAATATTACAAATATACAAGTATTACAAGTATACAAGTATTATTACAAGTGTATTAGGTACAAGTGTATTATAAAGCAGTGAGGCTATGTCACATAAATATGACACAAGCGATATCTATGCGGTCGCCGCAAATTACACACTTACAATGTACTTCCTTAGCTTTAGCTATGAATCTTTAACCTATATTTGTTGTTCCCGGGCTAGTGTCTGTGAAGGCGCACCCGTTATCATAACCTATAGGCTCGCCCTGATATTGACTTCAGTTGCTCTTGTTGGTTGTAAGGCTTCAGTGATAAGTTTTTGCAGCGTTACCACTGAAGATGTCGACAGTGAAAAACGGCGAAATGTTTGAAAGCATTGGATGCGACGCGCTACAGAATCCACTACGAAACGTTTCACAAAACCTCCATTAACTAACGTGCTTATTCCTTCAGTAGCGACCTTAGAACCAATATCAATATCAGGCCGTGTCTAGGGATTTTGACAGCGAGTCCCCCTTCACAAAGGCTAGCCCAAAAACAAGTCAGCTAGCTAATACTAAAAAGGTGCATTGGAAGTCTGTAACTGTCACTAAGTACTTAGGTTACGGCATTACAACCCAAAACTTGATTATCATCCAATTCCTTTTAATTAATGACTTCTAGTGAAACGGGGAACAAATAGTCAAATATTTATTTTGTATTTTTTGTACTTCATTTTAGGTAGCAGAAAAGATCAGATTTTGGGAGCTGAAGCCACCCTTTGGACAGAACAGGTTGACACCACTGCCATAGACAGTCGCCTTTGGCCCAGGGCAGCAGCCTTGGCTGAAGTACTCTGGACAGAGCCTACTACGGATTGGAAAGTGGCGGAACAAAGATTTTTGGTGCATAGAGAACGACTGGTTACCTTAGGCATAGATGCCGATGGTATTGAACCCCAATGGTGCTTACAAAACGAAGAAAACTGCCGAATAGGTGCGGTCTTCAACACAGAACATAAATAAACATTACATTAATGTTTTAATAATTCTAAACCTGTCAAGCATCCTCTATCTGTGTTAATAGTGTGTGAACCTCTAGATACTTATATAAATGAAAATAAAATTAGGTATATAAAAAGTTTGCAATTAGTACCGTCCATCTCTATTTTGTATAATAGGATTTCTTTGTAAATATCAGTGACTTTATAATCAAATTTAATGACGATTTAATGATGTATTGATAAAAAAAAATACGCATACTACACTTGAGAAAAGTATTCAGGGTGGACCGTTTTTCCCACCATTGTCATCTCGTCAACCGTAGATACAAAAACAAGTTAAATGAGAAAAAAATGCATTAGAAGCAAATCAAACATAAATATTTGGAAAAAAGTTACAAGTTACAATTAAATGTTACATGTTATATACATCATCTTTGTGTAAATTAGAGAGCAGAGACCATGGCAGAAAAATACGCTGATTGAATTTTGCTGAATTTCTTTCCTTACAGACACCATATTGGAGTTTTTAGTATCTTTCCAGAAAGCAGCGATTTAGCATATGTTATGGATTATCTTTTTATTTTTCCTTAAATAACCCATTATTAACTGCCACAAGAAAAGGAGGAGGGCCCCTAAGACCGGTTTTTGGCCTAATTTATTTTTGGCAGAAAAAATCTGAGAAAATAATTTTTTTTAGTACCTACTAGCAATACTGAATTGTTTCCACCTTAAACGGACCAACCCCCTCACCCTCCTTTCCCCCTCCACCCCCTTAAATGCCGGGGAAACCATCTCTTATTAGAGGAATCTTTAAAGAGCTTAGAGATGCGAACAGTGTTACCAGATCTCCTGTTTTAACAGGAGATCTCCTGTTTTCACTCTCACTCTCCTGTTCTACTGTTTTCACAATGATATCTCCTGTTTTTAGTCTCAATGTCTATTCTTCTGGTTTCTCTATGAAATCTTCTGTTGATTATACTAATTTCCCTCAGAATAAGAATATTTTAGTTCGACACTGTTCTCTAACGACACTGTGTTCGTCACTTGTCAATATTTTCAGTCCTGTTATATTTTCTGTAGCCCAGTTCATGCAAGATCTTTTACTGATCTTGCAGTTCTTGTACATATTTAAATTTTAAATTCGCAATTCGCGTTTATATGAACTGGGCCTAACAGAAGGCGTTTCGTTTCGTTCGTTTACTTCAGCGGGATTCTGGGCAGTGTTGCCAACAGACGGAAAAAATTAGTAACAAAGATGAAGCAAGAAAAGTACCAAAAAGGTCCAAGAGGTACCAATATACCAAACAGAAAGTAAATTTTCGGAGGGTTCATTTATCAGTGATGTGGGATGTGGGTCATTTAGTAATTTCACATTCTAAAGTTTTGCTGAATCTAATTCAAACAAATTTCTTGAAAATTGTAAGTCAAAGAATAAGTTGATTGAAAAAAAAATCGAAAATTGTGTCAAAACTTTGTGATTGTACTTAAAAGATAATGTATAGTCTCCATGGTAATGACCTTCCTGGTAATGACACTGACATTTAACAACTTAACAGCATGACAGAACTAATTTCATGACATTACAGTTGACCATGGACGCCACGAAGCTGTAACCAGAGTAGCAAAATAAGTACCACACCACAAACAAAACCGACCACTGAACACTGAATTTTTGTTGCTCTTGCCTCTTATATTCTTCCATGACATGTCCGTGACGTTGCTGGGTGCCAGTAATGCGGGAGATTTAAAGTACTAGGCGAAGAACCGAGCCGTTGGCGCACTGGCCAATGACGCCAGCTGAACAAACAGTATAAGGGTGAAAATTTTAGTATAATTAGTTGTAAGCCGTGCACGAACTCAAAAAGTACCAAAATAAATAGAAAAGTACCTCGGTACCAAAGATCCTTGAAAAGTACCAAAATGATACTATAGTACCACCCCTGGCAACAGTGATTCTGGGATTTTTCATTTTGACAACTGACAGTTGCCAAATCACGTGACGTACCGATGTAATTACATACTATTAAACGAACTCCTACATTTATAATATTTTGCTATATTTTGTGCATGTACTAATGTTCCTTTATTAAAAAATATATTTATTAAAATCTCCTGTTGAAAAAAGAAATCTCCTGTTTTTTTGGCTACATTTCTACTGTTGACAGAAATTTCCATCTGGCAACACTGGATGCGAAAGACATTCAATTCCTATGAACCTTACATATGAAGAATTTTTTGGGTCGCTGATCACGAATCTGGTTTCAGAATCACGAAATTCAAAATGGCGGATCCAATATGGCGGACAAGAAAATTGAAATGTCTTCAAAATGCATGAATTTTTATATAATGGTTTTTTTTTGGGTCTATGATTACGAATCTGGACTCTAAATCACAAAATTCAAAATGGCGGATTCAGTATGGCGGACAAAACAATTCAAATGTCTTTAAAATGCATGAATTTTTGTATAGTGGTGTTTTTTGGGTCTCTGATTACGAATCTGAAGGCGGAATTACGAAATACAAAATTACGTATTCCATATGGCAGACAAAAAAATTAAAAAGATCTTCATAATCCTCAAATATTTGTTTACAGAAACTTTCTTGGATCACTGACTACGCAATTATGAATTCAGAATCACGAAATTCAAAGAGGTTTTATTCTATGTGTCATTTTATTTTATGTGTTATCTCATTTAAGGGGGTGGGGGGAAAGGAGGGAGAGAGGGTTGGTCCGTTTAGGGTGGAAACGATTCAGTATTGCTAGTAGGTACTAAAAAAAATTTTCAGATTTTTTAGCCAAAAATGAATTAAGCCAAAAACCGGCCTTAGGGGCGCTCCTCCTTTGTAGTTATTCCAAACAAAACTTCCATAGTTTATTGTTTTTGCCTAAGTACCGAAATATGAAACCACCTATACGTATATTGCTATTATTCGTTGCTCAAGGTCTTTTCAGAATGAAACAAGAAAAATGTAAACAATTTATATAGAAATTGTGTGATATAATAGGAATCACGTTAAATCTTTGTAATTAGTATCTGACGCAAGTTGAGTAAATTCTTTTTTGTCGATATACCTAAACAGAAACTGATACATAGTGCCTCGGTAGCGCAGTAGGCAGCGCGTAAGTCTCATAATCTTAAGGTCGTGAGTTCGATCCTCACCCGGGGCATATTTTTGCCATCATTACCTGCACCTCTTATACCTTCAAAATTATATTTTGATCCTAGACTATTATTTTTAACAAATTGAACTGTAACTAATTGCAAGAACTAAATACCTTCGATTAAAAAGAAAAGATTATTGCTTTTTTGCTTACTTCATCAATTATATTCCAAACTAAGTTATAAATTGTAAACAACAAGGGAACATCAAAAATCATACAAGAGAAAAAGGGAAATATGGATCATTAATATATAAAAACAATAAAGGCTGGCTATATTATGTATAATTAAATGGCAGCGCTCCAAGTGAGAACAGTTGTGAGCTATAAAAATCTTGTTAAACTTTTTAGATTGGAAACCTTTTTTTGTCCACGATTGTTCGATTTGATACTTTAAGGGATTTATCGTATTAATCTATAAAAATAATTGGAATGACACGTCGATTTTTGAGTAAAGTAAAAATTAATAAAAGTTAAACCCAGTAACTTTTTTGTTTATGAAAATATGAAATGAGAGAAGCCAAACATTGAGTAGGAAACAATTGAAGGGGCAACTGGATGAATGTGTTATGTTACAATTTCTGAAAAGTTGAGATAATCGGTTGAAGAACATGTTTTGTATCACTGTATCATAGCATAGACCTTCATAAGTATACTAACACTTTGTCAAGGATTTTTAGAATGGATGAACATATCATATGATAAAATTTACTTAAAATTAAATTACTTAAAATCGATTTTGTGAGAATATCCGAGATATAAGCTAATTGTAACATAACACATTTATCCACTCGCCCCTTCAATTATGTTCCAACGGAAATAAAATTCACTGACTACTTAAACATTAAATAGAAACCTACTGTTCTGCAAAACTGAACATTGGAAAATGTTAAAATAAAAAGGAATAAAACAGTAGTACATATTTCACAACCTGGTCTTAGTTTCTTTTTTCCTTGGTATTTCAACCGACTGATGTCAAATAATTTTTTAAATCTAATGAATATTATTTCGGCTCGTTAGACAAATAAAAAAATATTATTAAATCCTGTAGTATTGCCCCGTTCCCTATCTACCTATTATATCTGTTATACTTCGAAATATGTAAATACTGCAATAAAAATTGAAAGCAACTTTAAAAATAGCAATTTAAAGAACAGCATTTCCGTACATTTTTTATAAAATTATCAAAAAAAAAGTCTGTCAGAAGTGGGATTCGAACCCACGCCCACAGAGTGGACCAGAACGCCCGAAACCTAGTATGTAGGCAAGGAAACCTTGAGTCTGGCGCCTTAGACCGCTCGGCCATCCTGACAGTGCAAAAAAAATTGAACATGTATGAGTTCTCCGAGCAGTGTGAATGGATGCAGGGTGTCCGAAAAGATCATGTCAAAAATAAAGGGGAGGTCAAAATAGATGTAGTACTTCATATTTGCGCAATTAAAGTAACTCATAATAAGGTTCATTTCCAAGTTTAAACTGATATTAAATATGACTGGATTATACAGGAGTAGACGAAATTATCCATTTAAATTTATACATCTTTGACAGCGTTGCCAAATTTGGCATTTTTCTTTCATAGTTCGATTACTCTCTCACTTTGCTTAAAAAAAGATATACCGTATATCAGTCGATATCTTGTACCGTTTTTGAGGAAATCGAATTTTATTAACAGCATACATGTATTGTATCAAAAATGCGATATTAACATTTTTGTAAAAATTTTGGTTTCTTTGGAAATTGAGCTCACTGTCAACAAGTATGTATAATTAGTAGTTATTTGTCATAAATCATTTTGACACCATTTGTTGATTCAATATCATGGAAGATTTTAGCTATGAAGAATTTGCAACTTCTGAAGCTGCTTGGATTTACGCTAACCGCTTTTCAAATAGAATTTGCATATTTGAAGTGACAAAAATCCCCACACTATTATTCAGGCAAAACACCAACAAAAATTTATTATTAATGTATGGATGGGAATAATTGGA